TGGTAATTACCGATAAGTGGGGGTGATTTCCGTAATTTAGCCTAAGTTCATGAGGATTTTCGTAATTTATCCTATTAACAACGATTATCGTTATTTTCACGTCTTAACGTTTGCTTATACCCTTATATTATTTTAAATAATTTTAATGTCAGTTTGATAATATAATCTATATAATATATAAAAGTTGAATTTCACACCTAATTGATTGACATTTGTCAATTTCAATTGGTGACATGTATTCAATTTCATCCCACGTGGCAAATTGATTGGTGAAAATAAATCATCAAAAAACATGTCACCATTTTCCAAATTAAAAAGATATTTAATTATTTTATTATATATTTATATCATACCATTTATAAAATGCACTGAATATAACAACTTTCTTGGAAACTCTAAATAGTTTCTATTTTTTAATTTAATTTTAATAGTAATTAATTTAATTTAAATTTAATTAAATTCTATTTAAAATCTTCACTTATTATAATTGTATGATTGACGGTGTTACGAAAATTTTGTATTTTAATTCATAAACTTGGATTTATATAAAAAAAATATTGCAGAATAAATCATTTGATATTATACATTTATCTTTTTTACTAATTAATATTATATTCGTAATTACCAAAATCTCCCTGAAGTTTGTTTTCATCTTACGGTATGATTTTTCACGAATTTTTTTTTATTACATGGAATATTCCCCCAAAAATGCAGATTCTATCATGCACGCGACATTTGTTTATGGTACTTTTTAAAGACAAAAATTACCCTGAGGGGGACTTTACACGTAATATTTATTTTTCTTAAATAACTTTTTCACAACTTTTTAGTATTACTATACCTCCCCTAAGGGTAATTTTTGTATTTAAAAAGTAAGATAAAAGAAATGTCATGTCATCAAGGGTAGAATCCACAATTTTTGGGATATTACGTGGAATAAAAAAGATTCCGTAAAAAATCACACTATAAGGGGGTCGTGTAAGACATAAACAAACATCTGGGGGATTTTGGTAATTACCGATAGGTGGGGTTGATTTCCGTAATTTAGCCTTAGTTCATGAGGATTTTCGTAATTTATCCTATTAACAACGATTATCGTTATTACGTCTTAACGTTTGCTTAAACCCTTATATTATTTTAAATAATATTAATGTCAGTTTGATAATATAATTAAATATTAATTTCTAATATATTTAATATGTTTTTCTTGATGTTTCAGGTACCACACATAAGGAATTTGATATAAAAGTTGCGAGATTGAATAGAATTTTTTTTTGATACAAAATAATAGATAATTGCAAAAACATTGATGCAAAATTATAATTAGGATTGTGATTAGTATTAGCATTAGAATTAGGATTATAATTAATATTCTTTGAATTAGTATTAGTATTAATACTAGGATTAGGATTCGGATTAATATAGTATTATAATTAATATTAGGATTATGATTAATATTATTATTAGAATTATAATTAAGATTATGATTATTGATTTGTACTACAATTAGTGACATGTATTAGTTTTATGGTTATGATTAGCATTAAAATTAGGATTAATATGGTTAGAATTATAGTTAGAATTAACATTAGCATAGCATAAGTATTATTAGTAGTAAAATTATTAGGATTATAATTAATGTTAGAAATAGGTTTAGGATTAGAATCATGATTAGTATTATGAATAGGATTAGGAATAAGATAAGAATTTGGATTATATTAGTATTACAATTATAATCAGCATAAGCGACATATCCTGATTAACATTAACATTAAAATTAGTATTAGCATTAGAATATGTACATTAGCATTATCATTAACAATATTAACATATTAGTATTAGAAATAGTATTAATATTAGTATTAGTATTAGTATTAATATTAGGATTAATAATAGTATTAGTAATAGTATTAGTATTAATATTAGTTTTTAGTATTAGTATTAATATTAGTTTTCGTATTAGTATTAATATTAATATTAATATTAGTCTAAATATCAGTATTAATATCAATATCAGTATCGGTATCATTATCAGTATCGGCATTAGTATCGGCATCAGTATCGGTATTGGTATCGGTATCAGTATCAATATCAATATCAATATCAATATCATTATCAGTATCAATATCAGTATCAGTATCAGTATCAGTCTCAGTTTCAGTCTCAGTATTCGTATCCGTATCAGTATCAGTATTAGCATCAGTATCAGTATCAACATTTGTATCAATATCAGTATCAGTATCAGTATGAGTATGAGTATCAGTATCAGTATCATCATTTGTATCAATATCAGTATCAGTATCAGTATGAGTATCAGTATCAAATAAATATCAGTATCAGTATCGATATTAGTATCATTATCAGTATCAGTATCAATATCAATATCAATATTAGTATCAGTATTAGTATTAGTATTAGTATGATTGTGAGTATAAGTATGAGTATGAGTATTAATATGAGTATCAATATGAGTATCAATATTAGTATTAATATTACTACGAGTATCAGTATGAGTATCGATATTAGTATCAGTATCAATATCAATATTAGTATTAGTATTAGTATAAGTATTAGTGTTAATATTAATATTGCTATGGGTATCAATATTAGTGTCAATATCAGTATCAGTATTAATATTAGTATTAGTATAATATTACTATGAGTATCAGTATGAGTATAAGTATTAGTATCAGTATCAAAATTATTATTGTTATTAGTATCAGTATTAGTCTTAATAATTAGTATGAGTATTACTATTGGTATCAATATCACTATTCGTATCACTATAAGTATCAATATTATTATTAGTATTAGTATCAATAGCAGTCTTAGTATTAGTATTAGTATTAGTATTAGTATTAGTATTAGTATTAGTATTAGTATCAGTATCAATATTAGTATGAGTACCAATATTAATTGAATTAGTATCACTATTGGTAACAATATTGGTATTAGTATTGGTATCCGTATTGGTATCAATATTGGTATCAGTACTGGTAGTGGCGTATACATCATATCTCTTTTGCAATATTTATAAGTTTTATTGTTGTTTGAGTAATGTGCATCACTAATTGAACGCCATTAGTGATAAACTTGCTGGTTATTTGAATATCTATTGTGTTACTTCTCCGCTACCGTGTTTGTTGTTACCTTAGTTATTTTGGAGAAGACTCACATAGTGTAGTAGATTGCAATCCAAGAAATAGAGTTATACCATATGTTTTAAATGATTTACTTAATCTTAATATCGTGCTTTGCGCGCCTCATGTTTTCTTATTTGTAATATTTAACTTAATTTCATATGTTACAACTCTAAATTAAGAGATAGATAAAGTTTATGTTTTTTATTTCCTTCCATTTTGTTTTACTTGAATTGGTATTGTGATAAAGAGATAGTCGTTTACATAAGTTTATTTTTCTCATTTTGAAACTCACCTCCGTGCAACGCACGGGTGAAATACTAGTTCAATATGAAAACAACATTGAAAGTATTTAAATATTTATTCTAATTTGATCCCAAAAAAATGATTTTTTTTTTTCAGAAATCGGATGATTAAAAAACGACCAAAATGGTTTAACACCACCGAACTTTAGCAGCTGCGAAATAAAATGGAGCAAGTCCACTGCACATATAATTTATTCCGATAAGGGCAAACATGTAATTTCAAAGTGATGTTTAACGGTGTTACAATTTTAGGGGTTGACTGTCAAGTATAGGGACTAGTTTGTCGATTTTGATAATTCGAAAACATAAATACGACAATAGTCCAGGAAAATAAATAGGACGATAGTCATAATATATGGGTGGAAATGTATTTAACCCTTACTTAAATGACCTATTGATGTAAATTCAATTATGTCAGCAGCCGAAGAGACTTTCCTTTTTCTGGTTGACGAGTGAATAATTATAGTGGAATCACTTTTCCAGAATGAAGTTCAAATTTCAATTTATAGGGTAATAAAAAATGTGGGCTTCTAGCCCAATTCTATCGGGCCGGGGCACAATAATTTTTCATTTTAGAATTTGGCAAAATTCAAATTACCTTAATTTCAAATGCATAATCCAAATTTTAAAAGATTTTTATTACTACCCAATTTGATTTCAAATTTGATTTTGACCACATTTTTCAATTTGAATTTGGAAAAATTCAAAACATTAAATTGAATCAGTTAGATTGAATGTTGGATAAAAGAGACATACATGAATGAATGAACAATGACTACGACTTTTGATGTCATTTCACGTTTTCTGAGATTCAGGCTGTAATTCATTCTTGCATTACTCATTCACCGGACATCTTATCAGATTGGTTCAAGTTTGATTAAAAATTTTATGTTTTGAGTTTTGCTAATATTTAGATTAAAACCGATATAATTGAAATGATATTTTAACATTTCAACTAAGAAGATGAAGTGATTGAGGTAGAACCAATATAAACCACATTATTTTTTCCGTCTATTATGAGAACGTCACTATAGCATTGCTAAAGATGCAAATTGAACTCGACAACTCCAACAAAGGTACTACAACGGTGAACGAGCAGAGACGACACTTAGCCTCAAATGTGATAAGATTTCGAAAATATTTGAGACTTTGCGAATTTGATTAGATTCTATTTGTTCTGAAATTAGAGTTAAAAGGGACTTCAAATTAAAATAATTGATTTAAAAAAAAAAAAACTAATTTCAAAAGAAATTACTAAAATGTAGAAGTTTGAAAAATACACTTGTCAATTTGTTTACTTAGAGCTGGAAATTTCATGTCGAGTTATTTGAACGGTCGATTTATATTTCATTTTCAGCTCAACAATTTCTGAGCGTTAGATGAAAACCATCAGACAAAATTATACCCGTTACAGTAGTAGCATCAGTGGCAACCTCGTAAATAAGACAAAGGTAAAGGGGACTTACTTGAGGTAAATTTGCACACAATCCTGAAATTACCCCTCCGCCAATAAACGGTTCCGCTTCCTCGCTTCCTATAAATGTCCCCACCATCTTTACTCTTCAATACCTACACTTATCTATTTTATTATTTTCAACATTTTCTCTCTCTAAAACTTTTTCTCTCTCCAAGGGTTTTTGTTTTTTTGCTCTAACACGCCATGGCTGAGGAGGCACAAACCACTGGTGTTGTTGTAGCAGCTGAGAACGGATCGAAGTCTTCTCCGGTGGTTTTCGCGGCGGTGAAGCCGTGGCTGGTGGTGGAAGCGCCCAAGGCGAACGACGCCGTGCAGTTCTACAAGACGGCGTTCGGAGCTGAGGAGGTGAGCCGCGTGAATCACCCGAAGAGGAAGGCGGAGCACGACCTTCCCCTCGTACTCTCCGCTGAACTCAAACTCGGATCCTCCTCCATTGTCGTCTCCGATCTCACCGACGACTCATCTGCGCCGTACGCTTCTATTCTACTTTTTTTTTCTCGTATTTTTTTTCCTGCTGTTCATAATGCATCGTTTTATAATCTAGTGCTCTGCAATTTTTTTTTAATTTTTTTTGTTCAGATCTGTGAGTCCGAGTCGAATACCTAAAAATGTTTAACAGTTTTCTGTATTATCTCTCTCCTTCTCTAATAATCGTCGTTATCTACTTTCTCTCTCTACTTTTGGTGAGTGTGAACTCCGATCCGACGACTGTATTTTCTCTCTCTTCTCTCTAGAATTTTGATTTTTTTCCAACAGTCGTTTTCTATGGTAAATCATTTTTTTAATGAATGCATGCTATTGGTTTACGGTTAAGAAAATAAAAAAAATATATATTAAACAATCTTCTATAGAATAAATGTTTCCCCTCTGACCATATTATTTTAATTTATTTTATTACTGTCAGTGTCAAATCTGTGGTGAGCGGTAGCGTGTTCTGCTTGGAGACTGAAGATGTTGAGGCCGCCGTCGCCAAAGCTGTGGCCGCCGGCGCCGTTTCCGACGGCGAATTGACGGAGGTTGAAGGCGGCTGCTGCGGCGGGCGCGTGGGGAGAGTGAAGGACCCCTACGGCAACGTCTGGCAAATCTGCGCACCTGCGAAGAAGTGTGATGACGTGGCGGCTTAGTGGCCGTCCATTTCATAAGATCTTTTGGCTTCTGTTTTGTTCCCCTACTCAAACTCGGATTTGCTTTTTGTTAACTAGTAGGGGAAATGGTATATGTGAACAGTTATTAGTCGGATGGTTAATCTGCTTTAATTTTCATGTTTAACTTTCTAAGTAATGCTAATTAGTACTAATCTCATTAACAATCGTTTCTTAATTAAGAGGTTTATTTTAGTTTTATTAAATCTCTCAGTTTTACAATTTTACAATTTGGTTTCGTTATTATTAATTTTCTACGCGTGAATTCTTTAGATGGAGAATATCTAGAGTGTGCTTGTAATTATGCAAATATAAAGGGTTATTTTGTAATTTACCCTATTTTTTTTAATAATTTCAAAACGTTGCATGGTTAAATTAAATACATTGAAGACTGGAATAAAATTAATATTGTACGTACATGCCTGCTTTATTGTTGACTGATGTTGACTAGTTTTGCGTGAGGGCGGGAAAAAGTTTCCTAGATAAATGCTAAGCTATTCAGGTGTCGACACGCGTCCTACGGGTTGTCCAGGTTTGTCAGAAAAGATTTGTGGTCCCCACGTTGTTGTCGTTTTCCCGTGATTTTGTTTGTGGGGGAGTGAATTACTCGTGAATTTAATTTATTTACGTATCTTCAATTGGTTTTGGTGGAATGAATACTGAAACGCTAACCTTCTTTTTGTTACGTGATGGAGAAATGACAATTGCGTATTATGTGGGAAATTACTCTACTAAAAATGCGAAGGGTTTTTGTCGGGACCAAACCCGACGCTCTAACATTTGTTTGCGACGCATGTAGCAATCAACGTATAATTTCAAGAAGTATTAATCTGGTTCGAAGACTAATTCGAGGTGGGCTAGTTGCGAGAAGATTGATGTTTGGCAACTTTAACTTCAAAATTAGAAATTGGAATGAAAATACTTGGTTCCAAAATTGAAATTTTTATTATTGGAATTGGTGTAAATTGGAATTTTAATTTTAAAATATCTAATATACAATAATATTTATATTATAACTGCAATCTTTAGAAAAACGAATGAATTTTCAGAATAATTTATGTAATTAAAGTCGAAGCAGAAAATGATTATTATATATAATTGGAAATCATTTGATGTAAAAACATTATTCTAAAATCTTAAATTTCCGTATCCAAATTGGCAAAATCAGAGATTTGGTTCCAATTTTCATATCTAGTTTTTGTGATATTGCCTATTGGCCCACCAATTGATGTAACCAGCAGGTCACTTCTTCTCACGGTGTAAAGGGTAAAATAGTCTACAATGGGAAAACCCGATCACAAAAACACGAAAGCCGTAATAAATTATCATCAATACAACAAAAAAATATGACAAGGTGAAGCCCATTTAGAAGGATTATGGACTGGCTGCACACTTAACATTGTTTGAGAAGAATTTGAACTTTCAAGTTGGTCAGAGAAACCAAAATTTACGAATCTCGATGATAAATGAGCTTGAGCAGACCAGTCAATGATGTCGGATTGATCGTTTATAAAGAAAATAGTGTTGAAGGAATATGCTTCAAAGATAACATTCGTCAAAAAGCATCTTTGATGAAAACACAAGCACCGCGGAATGTAAAAGTTTCGGCCACAAGTGCGTCCATGCAAAAATACTCTTTCGAGTGAGCTTAGATGAGAACATTGGAATTAATGGGGATTGTGAATAATCTGAATTCTGCTAAATATTCTATTGTAATAATTTGAATAACATTATGTTTTATAGACATGACTGAACATTGTCCAATGTCTAAGAGTTGGAAGAGGAAATTAATTCAGATTCATGGATTAAATAAAATACAAATATCACTACTTAGTAATGTATAAGGTTAATTATAAGTGCTTCACATCAACCTGGTAAGAGTTAAACTTCTAAACTAATAATAATTTGAAGTGGATTAAAAAGGGAAAATTTTGGATTACTTATCACTAATAGAGGAAATTACCTCCTCCTCCCTCAGAATATTTATGCATGTAGCTAGAAGGATATGTGACTTTTGGTATTTGCTAAATGTCCTTTTTGAGAGCTTACTTAGAGAACTTAGCAACAAAGCTTAGTGAGAGGTTAGTTACAGAGCTTAACTATGTTCAGTAATCATCTACCATGGAATACTTATCTATTTGCAATCATCTCTTACCCAAATCTAGTAGCCAAACAAAGTGAACCAACAAAATACATAGATCTGATTTTTCAAATGACTATTGTGCATGAATGTGATTGTATGTGTGTGTGTGTGAGTGTGCGTGCGTGCGCACATGTGTGTCACTATTGTGACTGTGTATGGAAGAATTTCGGCGATGGCAACGACGGAGAGCGAGAGTGAAGCAAATGTGAAGGATTGCAACAAATATAATTAGAGTGGTGGAGAAGAAGACACGAATAAATAACTTTTAGCAAAATGTCAAAATCTCGTTATCCTAATTTATGACAGTGTTCAAGTGTTTAGCAAGTTGCCCCAATCCCTAATCCCATCCATCACTATTGATGTACATCAAATACAAAATAAACATAAACATAAAAATAAAGAAATTAAAAAAACACACACATACTCGACCCCATAGATAGTCCCCATGGCCACTTAAAAAAATGAATAGACCTCACCAAACTTTTATTATAAATAATCAAATAAACTTTAGCTCAAACTTTAGCATATAGGGGAGACATGAAATTAAAGCACAAAGCAGCTTAACGCATGTGGGGTTAACTTAAAAGCTCTTTTACAACTTTCCAAATCTTTTCTTTCCTTTTTTTTCCTTTCTATTATTTTGAGAAATAGTCCCTCTCTCTATGTTTTAGTCCCAAAAGCTCCATATTAAAATAGTGAAAATTTTATGTACATAAACATTGGAATTTGCAATTTTGTTACGTGTCTATACACTTCATTTAGTGATTAACTTAGATTAAAATAATATAAAGTATTTATATTTTTAATAAATAGATCAAACTTTAATTTTTAGCCAAAATTTGATAAAAATAATAATTTCAATACCAAGTTCTCCAACATTATATTATTCTTTAATAAGTTAGAAACGGATTTCAAAACCATTTTGTCTGCCTAGTTGAACAAAAAGCCCACAAATGTTTTGTGTAATTGATCTAATCTGACATGCTGTCTCTACTTATTTAATTCTGAATTTGTTTTCTAATATTTATGTAATGAAATATATCATGGTACAATATTTGCATCCTCAATTCTGTTCTTCAAGCTCAACTTCCTCGAGCGTCGGAAACTTCATCTATTATCGGATTTTGGGTTGGTTCAGTTACATTCGTTTATATAAAAGACTCCTGGACAACATCCCCATCTTTAGACCTATTGATTGGATTAACATTTATTGCAGAATATTCTCTTATCATATATAATTACAATTATCTTCGTCTATTTCATCTATCTACAGAGCACATCTTCTGTATCTTCTTCTCCAATGACTTTAGGTCAACTCGTTGTCTCGTGCGCTCTTCGATTCAACTCCCTCATCTCCATGTTAAAACGAGTCTCTAACGGGACGATGATCTCAGTATACTGGGACCTACAATGCAGTGCGCTTTGATACGGCGAGCTTTGAACTGATTGTTTTGTCGGGCCTTCGGGATTAATTCATCCATATGGGCCCATCCGATAGTCCCTTTCTTTGCGCCAAAGCCCATAGCCTGGAGTTCGGCCCATAATTGCTTAACTAACCCCATCACCCTCGAATATAAATTATTTTCTTGTGGTCTCAATAAAGTTTACAATATATATATATATGTGTGTAATTATTTAGCAACCATTATTTTTGTTGTTGTCTATAGTAATTAATAAGATGTTCAGAGCTCACAAGTTATCCGATACAAAAATATTGAAATAAATGTTTCAAAGCAAATCCCCTGACTCCTGAGAGAGAGATACTTCAATTCATACACCAACAATTTGCTCTTCTCATTTTAAACTTATTCATTTGGCTTTTTTTTGCGCCAAAGGAAGCATAATGTAGATAAGAGCAAATTACGGCCACCACCCTGAGGTATAACCAAATTACGAAAAATTCCCTCTTGTTTGGAAATTACAGTCACCCCCAACTTTTAAATATTTTTACATAAAATTTATGTAATTTCGTTATTTACCGAACCAAATCGTATATTCAGTTCGGTAAACGGTGTGAAATGTTGGCGTACCGAAATTTCGGTTCGGTTTTACCGAATTAACATCCCTAAATTTACCGCTGGAGGGGTCTTTTCGTAAGATAATACAAAGTTGAGGGGTGGTTGTAATTACCCAAACAGGAGGGGGGTTTTCGTAATTTGACCATAACTTAGAGATGGTTGTAGTTTTCCCTACATATAAAGAAAAATGGTAAATTCCGGTCACCTTAAGGTAGTGTCAAATTATGAAAATCCCCTCATATTTGGATAATTATAACCACCTCCCTCAACTATGAATCTTCTTGCACGCCCACTATATGATTTCAAATTCAACATAATCTTCTAGATATGTGGAATGTTCTCTAGTTTGTACTCGCTTTGGGAAAGAAATAAGGGTGATGATTACACCACAATCGGATATTTTAAGCCTAAGAGGGAGATCTTATGAATCTAGCAAGGAATCTAATTAATTTATCAATGAAAAAGAATTATATCGTATTCTATACGCAAGGTAGTAAATAATAGATACTCGTTCTGTCAACAGCTAAACCAATCCCCTTAGAAAAGAATTTCACCAAATAAAGCTAAAGTGCAGCAGAATTACAGAACCCCTCTCTCTCTCTCTCTCTACTTTCTCTCTCTTATCTGTGTCTGTATTTTGTGTTATTCTTGGATATATGGCTTCTTAGCTTTCCCTTTTTCCTCTGTAAACCATCACTGTAACTTCCATCTCCAATAAGCTTCCCTTTTTCTTCTTCAAAATCAAACCCCACACACACACACACACACTCTTTTCTCTTTCCTTTTTCACCCCTCTTTTTCTCTTATTATCCCTTTAAATTCTTACATATTCCCCCCTGTAGAATCACAAGTCATTCTCCTAGATTCTTCGCCGTTGGATCTTTCTTCAACATCCATCCATGGATGTAAGCAATTTTTTCAAGATTCAAGAACCCTTTTTTTATTCTCTGTTCTTGAATTATAATATCATGGGTTTCATTTATTTTTTTTGTGTGTATTTGCAGGAATTTAATATGAGGAGGAGCCATGTACCTGCATTCGGGAGCTGGGATTGCTACGATGACCTGCCGTTCACGCAGTGCTTTGAATCGGCAAGGCAAGCTGGGCTTCTCCGGTACAGCTACTCCGGCGACCGTGATTTGTACGTCGCCGGCGATTTGTACCAGAACGACGTCGTTACCCCTGCTATGATTGTTGTACCCCGCCACAGAGTAAGCCCCCCACACTAGTTCAATTGTTCTTTTCTTTCTTTTTATATTTTCTTGATCATAATCCACAAGTTTTAGTATAATTTAGTGCAAATTACGGTCACCCCTAAGATACGCTCAAATTACGAAAAATTTCTTCATGTTTAAGTTATTACAAACCACTCATCAACTATGTATTTTCTTACACGTGGGCATCCTTACAATGTGAATTACCTACTGCATAAGAATTTTTTTCGTAAAACAATACATAATTGAAGGGTATGGTTATAATTATTCAAATAAGAGATTTGTTTTTTTTTTTTTCTCGTAATGTGAACTTATCTAAGGAGTTACCCTGAAATTTATGTAGTGAATAAGAGTTTTTTTTGGTCTGAGTATGGTTGTAATTTTTCAAACAAGATAGATTTTTTTTCGTAATTTGAACTTATCTAAGGAGTGTTCGTAGTTTCCCCTAAAATTTATATACTGAATAAGAGTTTTTTTTAAGGCAATACATAATTGAGGATTATGGTTGGAATTATTTCATACCAAGGGAGGATTTTTTTTCTTTCTTAATTTGAATATGAGTGGTCGGATTTGCCCTAAAATTTAATAAATGTCACGCAGTACGGTGTGTAATGATGCCGGTGGGGCGCGTGCATTCATTTCTTTTTTGTTGCTGTATGATAAATTTTCACAGGTACAAAAATCATGAACATGGGGTGGGGTGGGATGGTTTGGCCTGGGGTGGGGTAGGGTAGGGTACAAGAGGTACAATATCACATTCATGGTTTTCTCTAGGGACATATTTTTTAATTATTTCTAACATAAATTAAACTATTATTACACTTTCGAAATCATTCTGTATTCATTGGATTAGCCACTCTTATATTAGCTTAATTGTGATCTTAATTAGTTCTTTATTATGTGGGAATTAATTAATTTGAAATATTATTTGTATGAGTACGAGTTATGATTTTATCTATATTTGATGAAGGGATCAAAAACAAGAAATTCAAAGGAGAAAGAAGGAAAAAAAGAAGGATGGATGGTGTACGATTACGAGCTGAAAGCACCACAAAGCCGCCCCGTCTCAGCCTCGCCAGCTCGACCGCCGCCACCTAAAGCTGTTGATGAAGATTTATACAAGATCTCTCCTTCCTACATCAAAAGGGTAGGTCCTTGTAAATTCCTTGTAATTTTTTTCAAGTGGGATTGTTTTTTTGTTTTATTTTAATTTAATTTTTGTTTCTGCAGAAGAGAGGATGGAGTTTCTTTTCGAGCTGCTTGCGCCCTGCTCGCGTCTATTGAACCATGGTTAAAAAGCTCACGGTGGAATATTGGTACATAATCGAGACGCGGAAATATTATTAAATAGCTAATAGCATAGTGTGATTTTATTTGTGCTACTAAGCAATATATGCAAAGACCCCTCTGTTTATGAAGCAAAAGACCCCAAAGAATATGTTTGGCTCAAGAGGATAATTAATCTCATCATTAATTAATTATGATATGATAATGATTTGAGTGAATCTTCATGCTAACTACTCTTTTGCTTCTTTTAATGTGCATTGAGTACCTTTTTTTGGAGAGTGTTAAATTAGTACTTATTAAAAACTCCCTCTTGAAAATTAAAAATTAGAAAAAAAATTATAAAATATAAAAGGAACCGAGTTCGACAGGCTCGGCTCGACTTGAGCTCGAGCAGCTCACCAAATTTGACTCGAGCGCGAGCTCAAAAAATCTGGCGAGCTGGGCTCATATACACCCCTACTCTTGAATGATAATTATACAGATTACTTTTTTGAAGTTTAGTTAATGGGAATTTTGTCAAAAATTGCATGAAAACTGTGACTTTATATGGATGGCTCTTTAATGAATTTGGCAAAACAAATGGTGGTGGCTAAAGTGAAATAAAAGGTGGTACATGTGCCCTTTTTTCTGCCTGATAAATAGAATTTAAAGTTTTGGAGCTAGGACAAAAATTGTAAAGGGGAATATAATAAAATAAAGGGAATAAAGGATGAAGAAATATTGATTCAGGTATATGCCACTTTTTATAAAACAAAGAAAGAATAAATTATTGTCAACATTTTCAGTCCCTCTTGATTTTTCTATACTCCAAGCAACCTTTATTTTTCAGAGGGGTTAACGTTGGAACCTTCCCTAACTAAAACCTCATGAAAAATGTTAATTGAAAGTTTACCCGCCCGGGTTCTTCTTCCACTTCTTATTCGTTTCTCCGCTGCCGCCCGATCCACCGTACCCCCCCACCACCTCTATCGCTATGCTGACGATGAGAGCTCGAGAAGTGCAATATTATTGTAGCATGATCAAACCGTGAATTGCCATGTGCAAATTGGCTTCCACTGGGGACAACCTTAATTCTCTCTCTGTCAACCGGCCAAAAGATCTCATCGATAAGTTCGGAGTCCCATGCTCGAAGATTATGACCGAAAAGATTTGAAACTCTATTTGGTTCACACATCGTCACTGGCCGCTTCGTCAAAATTTTGAAATGACCATCATCACCACACAATCAAGGGTCTTTCCAAATTGCCCGTTTCACACCCGTTTCCGACCCGTCTCTGAATTCCTTGCATGATTATGGTCAGGCCTTAAGTATACATTTCCAATTGGCCGAGGGACGATATCCAGTATCTGCCTCGCTTTGTCGAATTACAAACATACTAGAAAATGTTAGAATTAGAAAACAGAATATTGTTAATAAAAACAAAAATCATTAGGATTAAAACTAACAATTATTTTCATTATTTTTAAAATATTAGAAATTTATTAGGTGCTATTTACAGTTAAGGGGTAAATTACAACCACCTCCATAAATTAAAGTGTAATTACACAAAAACCCCTTATTTTTGAAAAATTACATTCAGCCCCTACAGTTTATAAATTTCTTACATCCACCCTATAGAAGGGTGTTAATATAATAAATCTACAAATTGCAACGGTGGATGTAATTATGACAAAGTTAGGGGGTTTTCGTAAATAGACCACCCGTCAAAATTAGTTTATTAGTGAAAATCGATCACCACCGAGATCTCGCTAGAAATAGTAATCCAACGGTCACTAGGCGGTTCCCACTTTCCAACAATTTCCCACATATTTCTTCCCGCTCCAATTCCAGAAAACCCCCAAATCGAATCCTAGAGAGAGAGAGATAGAAGAGAGAGAGAACTGATGTGCGGAAGAGCACGGTGTACTCTGAGGTCCGACGACTTCCGGCGGGCCTGCCATCTCGACGGCCGGCCAGTCCGTCACCAGAATATGGACCGGTAACTTGGCATAAACCCTCCCCTAAAATTAATCATGTTTTTTTTACAGATTACGCTATGAAAGAGAAATTGAAACGTTGTTATTGAGTTAACTGAAACCCTAATTAGGTACCGTCCGTCGCACAACGTTGCGCCAGGGTTCAACGTGCCGGTGGTTCGTCGCGACGATGAAGGAGATGGCGGCGGCGCCGTTTTACACTGCATGAAATGGGGGCTGATTCCGAGCTTCACTAAGAAAACCGAAAAGATAGACCACTTCAGGATGGTAATGAAAATTAATTAATTATATTGGGTGTTTCGCTAATTGTGAAGAATGTACATTAAAATAAATTAATAACCTCGCTTAATTAATAAAGTTTTTTGGTCCCAACTTGGTAAAAAAGTACTGAGTTATTAGTTTGATAATTTAATATTTCGCTAAATTAATAGAATTTTGTTAGTACCGACTGTATTAATTTATAGAGGTTTAACTGTAGTTTTTTCCATATTTTGTTTGTTCTTTATTTTGCAAGTTATAAACATCGATGAATACGCATACGTGTAGAACGTACTAGTATGCCTCTATTCAGAGAAACGGCAAATGATACGTTTGATATTAGTCAATTCATATTTGATGTCGAAAATCAATGTGAATCGATTTTATTGAAAAAGAAACCAGAAGTCGAAAGAAGGGGCTAGCTCTTTCTTTGATTCGCTGTTTTTGTAAGAAGTATCGTCTTAATTGTGTCAAAGATGGCTAAGCTATGAATTAACGATCTTTGTTATAAATGCACTCTGACTAGTGGCTGTCGTTGCAGTTTAATGCTCGGTCTGAATCGATAAGAGAGAAGGCTTCTTTTCGTCGACTTCTTCCAAAGAATAGATGTTTGGTGTCTGTTGAGGGGTATGCACTGTTCTTTATATGCGTATTTTGTCTTTAATTGCTGCTTTTGCTTGAGAAGGCGTTCATTTCTTTCCTTTTTATGTACAATCTTTTAAGTTGTAATTACCCAAACAAGAAGGGTTTTTTTTGTAATTTGACCTTACCTCAGGGGTTTGGCCGTAATTTGCCCTATTTACTTTAATGAGATGAATTATAGGGATGTACTAAAATGAGATAACCCTTATAGAAGTGACTAAAATGGGATCAATAATGGGATGAGGGACCAGATTTGACCTATTAATTTCTCAATCAATTTTTTTCCCGTTTCACTTTCTTACACGCGTCAAGTGTACCCAGATTTTATGAATGGAAAAAAGACGGTTCGAGAAAGCAACCTTACTACATACACTTCAAGGATGGTCGTCCCCTGGTTTTTGCTGCTCTGTTCGACTCCTGGGAAAATGCAGAAGGTGAAACATAGATTTATGCATACCTATTTTGCTCTCGCTCTACATTTTAGTATGATTTTCTTTTTCGTTTGTATGTATTGAAGCTGTTTTGCCTTTTCTTGATGCAGGAGAAATCCTTTATACCTTCACTATTTGTACAACTTCGTCATCGTCGTCTCTGGAATGGCTTCATGGTTAGTATTATTATTTTTTTTAAACGAGAATCGTGTATTAGGTTTATTGTCGAAGCGCGTTTCTCATCTTCCACATTTGCACTTCCACCCGTAGCTTGATTCTCTATAAATTTTACAGACAGGATGCCAGTTATCCTACGGAACAAAGAATCAACCGATTGCTGGCTGAACGATTCTTCCTTGTCCAATTTCGATAAAATTCTCAAACCATATGAAGATGAAGATTTGGTAAGGTCATAACTTCTTTCAGGTCCTCGTTTCTTTTTATCAAAGTCAACTATAAATGGATGCCAATGTCGCCACCAAGAAAGGGTTGACTTATGAAATTACCATTTTACCGTGTGTGGCAGGCTTGGTACCCAGTGACTAGTGCAATGGGAAAGCTTTCTTTTGATGGGCCAGAATGCATTAAGGAGGTAATATTTATTGTTTTGATTCACTGTTCTTGCACGCCGTTTTTTCGATTGAGAAAATTCCCGTGTTGCACGTAAGAAGGTTGAATGTGTTTCGGTGATTGAAATCATAATTCTTAACCGATCATCTCTAACATGTTGTGTAACTCGGTTCTTTGAATTGAGAAATTTATTTGTATTTCCACGCTAACTGTATATATGTTCTCGTTAAAAGTAGTTCGTAACTTAGTACTAAGTGTAGCCGATTCACCGTATTACAGGTAAAAACGGAGGAGTCCAAAACAATCTCACAGTTCTTCTCAAAGAAAGTAGCAAATGCATCACAGAAGCCAAATCTCGAAAAAAGCCCCGTTAAAGAACTTGCTGAAGCCAGTGAGGCGATAAGTGTGAAAGAGGAACACGAAAGCCAGCCAACGCTTGACAGCACCAGACTGAAGGACGAAGACATTGAAAATTACGAGCAGAAAAGTGTGCAAGAGGAACCCGAAATAAGCCAAGATGACTGCCCGAAATTGATTATTAAGAAAGACGACGCTGAAAATACGAGCAATATTTCTTCTATAGAGAAGCAATATACTGGGGAGATGCTCCGTGCTCATGCTAAGCCATTTGCTAAAGAAAACGAAAAGCAAAATGTGGGTCCCGCCAGAAAGAGAAGTAAAACTGCCAATGATAAACAACAACCCACTCTTTTTTCGTACTTTGGGAGAAGCTAATCACTTGTTAGGTCTTTTGTTTTTTGTTGTACTGACGAAGCCGAGTTACTTAGGCGAACCGATGACAACTTTTGTGTATGTATTATCTGTCTTTAGGCTGTCTGTAATGTATGAAATTCGGTGGTGCTGTGATCTGCAGATAGTGTGGACGCTCCACAGTTTTGGATACTTTAGTTAGATAGGATCTCTGTTGAGAGGTCATTTGTGTATTAATATGACTTAACCAAAAGTTCCGAGAAGAAGATCGGAACTTAACATGAAAGAGAAAAAAAAAAAAAAAGCAGCTAAACCGGAGCACAATTTGACAGAAACAATGTCACAGCCACATAATGCAGCGTGTCTGATTGGTCGATTAAAAGAAATGTTAGGATAGCTTAATACACAAATAGTGCAATCAACCATTTTGTAATCAGAGTTTCCAATTAATAAGAATTCCTCCTAATTTCTTTCCTTCTTTACTCCCTTTCTGCACAACACATGGGAGTATTATACCGATGCATTCTACCACCATTGTACCACAATTATCTAAGAGCACAAGAAAAAAGAATAAAAGATTTTTTCGCGCACTTTCTTCTTATCTTTCTCATTCATCCAAAAAAAATTGGCCCGACTTTGGGAGTCTCACCAGCATAAATGCCATTTAAATAAAACTTCCTAATCTAACTATTTATTAACCATAGAAGCAGTAACAAGTTATACATACAGATGATATATACACCTGCATATGCAAAATACTCACCACATGGTACATCTTCCGAAGTTCGACACGACAAACTGCAAAAGGGATTAGCCAAAGATAGAAACCAGTACAGAATTTGAAAGTCGGTACCAAGAATTTACGAGGTCCCAATTCACAAGGAAAAACTCAGTTCAATTTTTGGAGTACACGGAAATATCTCAAGCATAGCCATTAACACAAGCAAGGCATTGCACTGATCATTCAGAATAATAATAATAATAATAAATCGATCATTCGCCACCAAAATCGATCTTTTTTTAATAGAAATCGGACCACATTAACAAAAAGTTGTCTTTTTTTTTTTTTTTCTCCCACGATATAAAGCAGGTACAAAATGCAAGAATCACAATCGCAACCGAAGATTTAAGTATTTTAAGCAAATAAAAATGCAAACTAATTTATGATTCTATATGATTTCAAGCGAAAAATCCTACAACAGCGAATATACTCAACCGAATCAATCCACTAGATTATTGAAATTACTAACAAAACTCAAAAGAGTAATCTCTCAATACGATTGCCTGCTGCTGTTCAGAATCGAACCCAACGTACCCAAAACCGCGAAAGCAAGAAGCGGGCTCACATCCAACGTGTCGAAAATCGGAGGAATTATGTTCCTAAAAAGATTCAAATAAGGATCGCACAAATCCCTAATTGCAGATAAGGGCTGCCTATCCCATGGGATATTGGGGAACCAGCTCAGCAAAACCCTAACCATCAAAACCCCACTGTAGAGATCCAGCCACTTCGCCATTCCGGCGGCCACCACCGTGAACGGCGTGTTCAGACCCCCCGTAGGAACATTCCTCATGGCGGCGAAGAACGCCGGGCCGGCGGCGGCGAGCAGGGGCTCCCTGAACTGCGCGGCCGCGGTGAAAATTCTGTGGGCGAAGAGCTTCGCGGCGGCTGCGGCGATCGCGACCACCGTGGTGACGGTGCGGGTGGAGCCGGAGAGTAAATCTTGCTCCGGGGTTGGGGTTTTGGGCGATTTGATTGGTGAGATTTGGAGTGGTGGGGAAATGGAGGCTGAAATCCTTGATTTTGAGGGTTTGGACGGCGGCGGAAAGGAGAGACGCGGGCGGAGGCAGAGGCGGTGGGTGTGGCCGGAGGGGGGTGAAAAGGAGGCCGCCGTGGGGGTGGAGAAGGCGACGGAAGCCATGGAAGAAGATGAGGGTTTGTAAGGGTAGACTAAAATCCTTTGGTTCTTCCGAAATGGTCACACACACACACACACTGTTGTTGCTCTGTGGCTTATCTGTGGCTCAAAATGGAACATACAACAGATTATTTGTAATTATTAATTATTTATAATAAATAATTATGAACAAACATAATTAGTGGCCATTACCATTTTTATTTTTATTTTTGCAATTTTATTGGCCTATTTATTTAAGATAAAAAATTAACTTATTAGTACCTCAAAACTATTTTGTATAGTTTAAAATCCGTTCGAATATTTAGAATTTGCTTAAAATCTTTATGGCTCGCATACTTAAACAAGGAGCTTAGTCTGTGAACTTAACAATACATAAATATATGCATTCTACAACACACGAAGAGCTTAGATGAGGAGAGTAGACCAATGACATAACTCTATACGAATGAATAGATGCATTTCATAGTACATAGATAACTTGCATAAAGATTAGATCGAGTATTATCATTAATGAAGAAAATAAGGTTTTTTCATATCATTTTTTTATAAGATGAGCGTAAGAGGTTCAAAGGTTTACAAAACTTGTCAAAATATAAAAAGTAGAGTAATCATACAAAAATAATTACGATACTGAAAAAACTCAAGTACTCTCTTTATATAGAGGTCGGAAAAAATCTAATCAAAAAGGACTTGTTCCCTAAGAGTGACATAAAACTTAAACCTAGTTATATAGATTCATAATCTAATATCAAACTCTTAGATATATTATGATACTCCCCTCAAACTACAATAACTTGACAACCAAAAGTTTCATTTTGACAAATAAAAGAGATTCAAAAACAAAAGTAAAATGTAATTCTTTGGAACTCCCCTTCAGCCTGGAGTAACAAACAACATATATCTTAACAGTTTAGCAGTACACAAACAAATAGTAGTCCACGGCTAGCTTGCAGAAATGCAATATACATAGACATATAGTTGGCTAGACATAGTCGATCAAACAAACATATTGTAGCAGAACAAACATTCACATCTCATTACATCGACATATAGTACTGTGGCCTGGGCATATTTTGATCGACGGATAGAGGTAGACTGTAGCAACGATCCAACCAAAATTAATTTGTAGATAGACAAACAACCAATAGAGATAGACAAGTGTAAGAGTAACAAATGACAATTAAAAGACTCATTCTTTAATTAAGACATACATAAATCTCAAAGCTAGATAGATAAAAATTGCCTCATTAAATAGATTCGTAAAACAATCTAATATGAAAAAATTCTTAGATATATTATAACAAAACTAAACATAGAAATATGTCTATATTGCCTTACAAAATTATGAAAATGGCTACTAAAAAATGGTTTATACTATGCTATACCGGGTGAAATACATCGGGTAGATCTACACGATTCATAAGCATACAAACAAACACACATCCACATTGATGTGTGTAGATCAATAGTAAAAATCCATCCGATGTAGTCTTCATCAGATGTAGCATAGAAATAAATCCTAAAAAATCGGGTTCAGGTCACCTCTCCTTTCTATTAATGTGAAGTTGAATGGTTAAAATAGGTATTGTTCCCTCCAGCTCATCACTACATTGGACACGTGTCCTTCAATTTGGATTCCCCTCTCACCTCAAAACGGTGTCGTTTTTTGCCTTTCCCCAATTCCCTTACAATCCCTAATCTGCGAAGCCCTAATTGTGACAGTAATCAATCAATCACGAATGAGCAAAACCGTTGTGAGTTGACAGAATCCCAATCAAGGACAGCATTGTAATTTCACCATCAAATCATACTCAAACAAATACTCTAGTTGATTTTATTGCGACTGCCTAAATTAGCCTCATTTTAGTTTGTTTAATATTGTTTCAATTTAATTTTGAGATGAAATTAAAACTTACGAAGAATTTATGCATTAGACTGCATGCAAGCTCATTAAATTAAATCACAATCCCAAATCATTATTTGTTTCTTTTATAACTTTTTTCATGTGATCTGCTCCAAGTATTTGCAGATATATTGCCGAACTGAAAACGAGTGCTTATCGAAGAAATTAAGGTCACAAGATCGGCCGTATTGATTATATCGATGATATTGGACTTTGCTCTCAGCGCTCGTTCACAAATAAAAGATCGATAGGCGGCCATTCTATCGGTTTTAGACTGATGAAAAGCCTGAAATAGATTTGTTTTCGTGCTAATATAAAATCCGAAATGCAAGCACACGAAGAATTAATGAGTCGTGTTTGTAAATCAAATTGAAAAATGCAGGAGTTTCCCTATGGGCCCTTCGGCAAAATTCTAAATTAACATTTCTAATATCTGAATATTAGGAAAAAAAATATAAAAAATGGTGCTACTTAATATCACTATTTGTTTCTGTTAATTTCAATAACTTATTATTTTTTTATTTATCATTTTGCAACAGAAAATACTAAATGGTATTATCCCTTATTTATGCAAAACTAAAATTAATCCATTAAATTACAATTAAAATTGGGATACACACACACACACACACACAAAGGCCGTTAATAAAACCAAAATTATCTCATAATTTTCTCTCTCAACTCAACAACTCTCTCACTCATCATAACAACTCTACGCATCTTCTCTCTCTAAACTAAGAGTTTCAAGAAAAAAATACTCTCTCACTCATCACCGTTCTTCTCGCAACTCTATCATCTTTCTCTCTCTAGAATTCAAGAAAATGTCAGAAAATGGCGAACCAAGAAAGAACACCAGAAGCTTTGACTCCGTCGATCCTTCTTCTCTATTTGATCAAACAACGACTGCCGCCATCAATTTACCGATCAAGAAACGCAGGATACTAAATGGAGCTAACAATCTAGAGTTCGCTGCATACTTTGATAGCATCACACTTGAGAATATATCCACCGCTTCTGCACCATCCGCCATTAATGGAGTTCAAACTGATATTAATTCTGCACTACGTGATCGAACAGTCCCGATAATGAATAACGCTATTACAAATCACACTCAGACAAGCGCTTTCGACGAACCAGGTTCCAGGTTACTTCTCACATCAATATTCTTTCATTTATTCATTTATTCAGTTTTTAGTTTTTTAGGGTTTTAGGGTTTTTAGGGTTTCTTTAGGGTTCTTGTTGGTTGATCCGGTAATTATTCAATGGGACTGCCAAATTTAGCCTCATTTTATTTATTTTTATTTAATTAATTTTAAGATTGAATCAAAATTTATCAAGAATTTATTTAAATAAAAGATCTCATATCATTAATTTTTTTTTTTTGGGTTTTTTTTTTCATGTGATGATCTACTTGGATCGATCGATCAATATATGTATATGCAGATATATCCCAACTGAAAATAAATGCATATCGAAGAAATTAGGATCGCAAGATCGGCATTCGCTCTACCTCGATTATATAGATGCCATTTTGCTAACCGATGAAGCCGATATTGGAGTTTGCTCTCCATGCTCGTTCGAAAATAAAAATACGATGACCGTATTTGATGGATCCAATAGGGAATATTACATGGTACTATCGAAGTACGATAAGGGCGGCGGGATCATGACGTATTTCGAGCTTGGCGGTGATTGGGAAAAATTCGTTCGTGCTAACAAATTGAAAATCGGGGACGAAGTTGTCTTTTACCATCTTGATCGTGACGAAAAATCGTACGTCGTTAAGTATTTCAAAAAGCCTGCTGACCGGATAATTAAAAACGATAGAATCACAGTACATGAGAGAACAGCTGCTGCATATAAAGAAGAACAACACGAAGCAAATAAAAATACTACTACCCGGAAATCAAATCCTTCAGTGCCGGATTCCACGTAATAACCAAGAATTAACGATATAGTATTTTAGGGTTTTGTTCAATAATATAATTTATATTAATTTTCCATCTTTTCTTGAATTGGCTTTCATGGAGTTATTTAATATCAGTTTTCTTTTCCTTTTTTTTTTCCCTCATTTTAGTTGGAAAAATTTAAAATCGAAAAATCAGTTTTCATTTCGTCTTTTTTGCTTGCATGCAGGCACTACAACGGAGACGACGAACCGACCTTATCGAAGAAGCTAGCTTCATATGATGTAATAAAAGAAAACGCTGTACTATGCCTGGATTATTACGAGGCGCTCCTTCTAACAGACGACCCTGAAATGGCGCACGGAAACACAATCATTGTATACGATGAAGCCAATAGAAAATACTATATGGTTTTATCCAAGCACGAAAGAAGTGGTGGTAGGGTCCGCTACGAGCTAGGTGGCGACTGGAAATATTTCGTCCGGTCTCACAATTTGAAATCGGGAGACGAGCTTTTATTCCACCAGATAATCGATGAAGAAGATAGTAGTATTCGTGATCAAAATTGCTACGCCGTTAGGTATTATAGGAAACCTAAGACGAGAAACAAGTGAAGAAATTATAAATGTTTTCGTTGTATTTTTGGTAATTAGGGTACATTAATTTGTTGTGCTTGTTGGTATTGTTATACACCAGAAGCAGTTTCAGAGTTTATTCCAAAAAAAAGTTCCTAAGTGTTATTTCAGTTAAGGGGATTGATGTGATAAAAATGTCGTGTTTCAGTGTTAATAATACCGTTTCGACTTCAAAAATAATATTGACCATGTTTTAAGGCTTAATTCGGCAATACTCAAAAGACAAATTGTGTGCTTCTTTAAGTTAGATTTCTAATACAACTTGAATGAGTACAATTGGATGTTGATCGAGAAAGATATGCACAAATCAGTGAAGACTGCCCATAACGTTGATTTTTGAGTTATTTAAAATTTAAAATGCAACTCAATCATCCATAATTCTGTCAATCGACATCCGATTTAGTTGATTCAAGTTGCATTTGAAAGTTAATTCAAAAGACTATAATTTCCATGTTTTGATTTTTCCTAAAATCAGAGTAAAAAAGGGTCAACATCACGTTCAAAGTTAAAACAATATTAGTAAAATTGAAAGGGCAGTTAATTTCATATAAACCAAGTAATTAGAGCTTATGAATGTTTTGGACCCAATTTAATTAAGTTTTGTGAGCTTAATTAAGAATGACATCACCACACTTAATGCGGATGTGTCTTCTCGTCCGCGCTTGATCCTAAGTGATTTGTTCGACCCTACACCCGGTGATAAACACTGGGTGGGTCTTCTACTGCCACGTGTATCTTTTTTGTATTTTATAATATATTCCCTGTTAGGGTTTACCTTTAGGGGTTTTAGAAAAATAAAAAAAGAGACACATGGCAGCAGAAGACCACCCAGTATTTATCACCGGGTGGATCGAAGTAACCATCCTAAGTAGGAGACTATTTAATTACCTGACTAAGTGGCAGTTTAAATATTGTTTTTCCAAATGTTGTGACTTTAGAAACACAACTTCTGAAAATTATTAATAGAGGATTTCGAAATATTAATCAATTCTCTGTCCAAATCAATCAATTAGTCGAAACTTTGTCAAATATTCTTCTACTTTCTTCATTTCGAAATTTACATCAAATTAAAATAATATTATTTTCGAAATATTATAGTTAATTGATTCTTTGTTGTAATTATCGAGATGAGGATTGCGCAATAACAAAATATTTATTTTTATTTTGGTTATAGATATTTAATTACATATATTATTTTATTTCAATAATTATAATAATGACAGGAAATAAATGTTTCAAACTTTCATTTGTTATAAAACAAAATAATGCATGTCTGTAGTTTTTTTAATTTTACTAGCTTATCATATTGGTTCTCTGCAATGTTGAGCATAAAATTGGTCGAATCTGTCCGAACTCCGGTTGAATCGGAAAAATTCATTTCAACTGAAAATTGGATTTTATATTTTTACATTGTAAAATTTAATTTTGTCGCTTTTATTTAGTTGAATTTTACCATGGATGATTAATGAAAGAACACAAGGTTCTAATTATTAATTTACATTTTCTTTAAATGTTATAATATAATCATTTCAATAATGTTTATAAAACAATTTATAAATAAAATCTGATAAAACTCAGTGAAAAAGCTTAAATATGCCTAATCTGGTTTTAAAAATATTGCTACTCTGATCATTTAGTATTAAACTTAGGGTCTATGAGATGCTACACCAGATTTAAAAAAAAGAAAAAAAAAGATGCTACATCTGGTATAAAACATCGAGTTGTTTTGCATCATAGATCTACATAAATAATTATCCACTAAGCACACATACATGTTGGTGTGTGTAATTATGTGTATTTTAATGGTGCAAGATCGATCAACGGCGTATTCCACCGAATCTAGCATCTACAAAACCCAAATCTAGATACATGCATGTCATTTCATGATAATCAATTAAATGTCCAAACAAAAAAGTAAATTATTTAATAACTATTTTTTTTTTTTTGGAGAATATTTATTAACTATTTAACTGAAAAGAAAACCAAATTAATCATTTAGCCGTAATAAAGAAGCCATTATCTTGATGTGGAGTGAAATATATAATTTATTTTGTAATAAATATGATTATTAGAAAATGTGGGCCAAAAAGTAATAATGAACTAATTATGGGGTAACCTTGAGAGCGGCTGTGCTTAATTTTTTAAACTCGTTAATTCAAAGTTATTTTGTCCTTTGGAGGAACCCAAACACTATTACCTGGTGTTTGCTAAAGCTTATTTAAAGTAGAAGCTAAAGATTGCGAATTAAGTCGATTTTAAGTACTTATTTGTAAAAGTTGTGAGTGTTTGCAAATATATTGAAAAATCAACTAAAATAGAAAAAAAAAAACAGATTCATGGGTGTTTTTCAAATTATAGCTTAAAACAACTTATTTTAAAATAAATAAAAGCAAAAGTTTATCTTGCAAACAATTAAAAATAAATTATGAAAAGAAGAAAAAAAACACATAATCTCTTTGAAAAAGTCTTTGCAAACACCATCGAACGATTTGTTCTATGTTGCTCCCATAACCATTACGGAGTATTTGGGTAAATATGCTACTTATACTCCCTCCGTTCCTTATTAATTTTCGTTTATCAACTTTGCACGAGTATTGAAAATCTCAATAAATATTTCTTGATTTTAGGAAAAATACATTAAAAAGACTAAAATAACATTGATCAATTAATAATGTGATAAGAGATAGTTAATACCTGGAGTTGAATTAATAAGGTTAAAAAACATGAAAAAAAATCCATTTAAATAATGTAGTATTAGAAATATAAAGTGAAAGATATACTGACGTATATGTATACTTGTATATGAATAATTATGTGTAAATCAAATGTAAAAAAAATGTATTTAATCAGTGTATTAGAGAGGTATAGGTGTCAGTCAGTTGAGAACCAGATTGTCAATTCAATTTCATTTTATATATATAATATTATTGGAAGGGCCGAAAGGGCATATGCTCCTATACTCAGACATTGGAGATTTAGAAAGGACATAGCATAAATTTAATTATTTTTAACAAGCAAGAAATATTTAACAATCAATACTAAATTGTTAACTACCAGCATATTTATATGCTACGCATCGTGAGATATATTGGGTAAATCTTTATTATTCATTTATCTGTAAACACACATTTACATGCAACCAGATCGGTGTGGCGATCAATCACTTTGGTTGGAGAGAGACCCTTCTGCGCACAAGTGTATAGTTTGGTTTAGGGTTGTTCATTGGTCATTGTACTCGATCAACCGACCTATTTTCGATCTATAGACTATGGCCGAAGATCAACCATCAATCGACCCATTAAAGTTAAAGTGATAATTTCAACCGGCCTACAAATAATTGGGTCAGTTGGTAATTACTAAATTTAAAAAAAAAAAAATTTTTTCCAATAATTGGAAAAAAAAAAATATTTTTCCAATAAATTTTAATTAGTTAAATATATGATCAATTTATTTAACCAATAATATCTATTGAAAAATAAGAAATTACACTCTATGCTTAATACAATATTTTTAAATTTATATTATTGCGAAAACGACTGATAATTCCATCAACGTAACCAACCCATATTTGCAGCGACGAAGTCGGTTTCCAATTATTACCCGACCAAGGGTGGACCCAGAAAGTTTTATAAGGAAGGCGAGATTTTTTTCGAAATAATACGACGATGAGTAGGTTATAATTGTTGGTAGTTCAGGGGCATCGCCACATATTGTTTTTCGAGGAATTCATTAAAAAAATACAAAAATAACCAAATAATCATTGATTTTGTTAAAAATAGTATAAATTTAAAGAGATAGCTAAGATTCCTCTTGAAAGAAATGAAAATATATAGTGATAAAATTCCTTAAATACTATCCCTCATGGATTTTCTAATGGAAATATATGCTCATGTGGACCTAATATTAATCAATTTAATTATCTAATTAAATCCCACAAGTGGGATTATTAAAAGAAAAAAGAAAAGATGACAAATATATTTAGCTTATAGAAATTAAAGCCTACATCACGTAATCATGAAACTAACACCTCTAAAGATGTACAAAAATAATTTTAATTATTTAATATGTAATAAGCATTAATTAATTAATATACTAATTAAAATGACCACCATATGAATTGTCATCATAATCACCTTCATCATTATCAAACTTCAACATCTCTATATAAACCCACTAATGCAAAATTAATTTATTTATGCACTAATCCTTACAATAAAAAAAAAATTAAAAAAAAATTAACTCTAGCAATTATGCTCAAGACATCCTTAAGCAACTCAATATTATCCAACTCCGCCGCGGTTATGGGCTTGTGCCGTACACGGCGGCGGAGGAGGCGGCCGAAGGGCGGCACGGTGCGGCTGGGGAACCGCCGGAGAAGGTTATTTTTCCTGGGGGGGCGGCAGGTGGTGCATTGGGCGGTTGTCGCCCGGCCGTTCCGTGTGTTGAAGAAAATGATAATGGAGATGGTGGCGAACGGGCGGCTGGTGGAGGCTTATTGCTGGTCTTTGCCGATATTACGGCCGCAGATATTTCCTTTGTGCTGATCAGTGTCGATTTATCCGGGTTCGATTGTACTGAAACTAATCGATCAATGATCCAACGACGAGTGGATTAGCAATTTGTATATGTTGATTAATTCGTGTTTTTGTTAATGTAAGTATGAATGTATGATTACACTTATTATATGATTTATTGCGTGATGTTATCAAATTACAGTTGGATTTTTTTTTCTAATGTTATTGTATATGCATGGGTGGAAATTAGAATGGAATTTTAAAATACTACAAACTTCCATCCGAAATTTTTAAATTTTGGAACAACATATTTCATATTAAAACCCGAAAAATGCAATTTATGATTAGATTAAAATTTAAAATATATAAGAAATTTCGGTATCCGATATGATTTAAATTTACAAAAAAAAAAAAACGAATCTCCTCTTTTACCACAAAAGTTTGTCTTTTCTTTTTTTTTTTTTTTATTATAGGTTAAGAAAAAAATGAATTTCTCTAATTGCAAAAATACTAATTTCGATATGATTCGTTCGACTATCCTAATTTTCTTTTTTCCTTCTCTTTCTTTTTTGTTCTGTTTTTTTTTTTTCCTTGTTTTTTAAATTGAAAATACTCATCATCTCTAAAGCTTTTTGCCGTTTCAATCACCGAAAAGTTATTTGCTAATAAAAAAATAAATGCCCATGTTCTAAGTCTAGAGATAATTACATTTTTAATCCTTAACTTTGCCTTAAAAATAAATTTCCCCCCATATTTTGTGGTGAACAAAATTTCACTTTCAATTTACAGTTTGCAACGCAGTGGGTCCAACATTTCAGGGGACCACCAAGAACTAACGGCTATTTGTCACGTGCATTGTACGTGACCCAGAGTTAGGGTTAAAATGGGAAATTCTCACCCCTTCTCCGTTTCATACAGTGGTGCCATAAGTTTCCCTCTCCTTTTGCCAGAGTCAAGTAGACACTTGCAAAGTCGTTCCCTAAATTCCCAGTCCCCTTCATTCATTTTGGGATTCCGTGTTATTCTACTTTAAATCCGGGGCATCGTAGAAGGCTATAAAATTAGAGGTGTAAACGAGCTGAGCCGGCTCATGAGCTCGATTACCCGGCTCGACAAGAGCTCAAGTTCAAGCTTGGATTTTTTCGAGCTTTAGCTCTAGAATTCGAGTTCAAGCTCATCATTAGTTGTTCATAGGCTTACCAGCCGGCTTGCAAACTTTTTAAGTATATTTTTTTAATATAAACATAACTATATATAATAAAGAAAATATATAATAAATACATATAAAATCAAAAAATAAATTTTACTTATATTTTTTTATTATACAACTCTTTTACTATCATATAAATAATTTATAATAAAATAATGAGCTAATAGCAAAGGCCCCTGTATTATTTCTAATTGTTGAAAAAGTCTGTGTTAAAAAAATTAACAAAAACCCCCTTATATTTTATTTTAAAAAACACAGAGCCCCTTATTTTAAAATTAGTTGTCGACTTACGTGAAATGACTCTAATATCCCTAGTTAGTTTATAATAATATTTTAATTTTAATAAAACAAAATAAAAGAAAATATAAAATTAATATAAAAAAAAAAAAAATAAAAGGAAAAAGAAAATGGACTATATCTTCTTCCTATCACCCAACCCCTAAATCCAACCCACCCAACTTTTCATACCACATCCGCTACCACGCCACCTCATCCGCCGCCGCAGCACCACCACTTGAAACACATTCTTCTCCATTGAACTTTGGGTTATCGAGAATGGTGAATTTCAAGTTTTGGGTTACCAAGAATGGCGAAGTTGAAGCTCAAAATCAAAATTTTTTCTTCCATTTTTTTACATGGAAAAAGGGGCTTAAGCTCTATCCTCTTCCCCGGCCCTTGTTCTCTTACCTTTTAATTTTTCTGGATTTGCAACAAAACTGAGCTTGAGAATCTGGATTCGATTGATGTTTTTTACTGGAAAAAATTCAGAAAATGGGTCTAGAAAGATGGGCTTTTTGAAAATAAGGACTGAATTGAAAATTTTGAAAACTTCAATTTGGTGCTTAAAATTCTAGGGTAAGTCTGTAATTTTTAAGACTTCTAATATGAAGGATATTTAGGTCATTTCAGGTCGAAAACACACCCCCAGACGCACATACGGCGAGTGTAGCGCACGATAACTTGTCAGGGACCTTTTTGGCTTTGACTAACTTTCGTAGGGGGTCCTTGCTAATTTTTTTAACATAGGGGTGTTTTCGACAATTAGAGATTTTACGGGGGTAGATTTTGCAAAAAACCCATAAAATAATATTATGTACAAATTTATAAAAAGAACAAAAAAAGAAGAGTCTGAGTTCGAGTTCGACAAACTCGACTCAAGTTCGGGGAGCATGAGCTTGAGCTCCAGAAGCGGGCCAACTCGGCTCGTTTGCACCCCTATTTGAAATGAGTTGTGATTTTGCTCGAAAAGACTCCCAACAACTTACGAGTCTTCAACTATATGTAAAGCGAAAATGCAAGGGTTCTTTGCCACATGTCCGAGAGGTAATCGGAGAGTGATAAACCATAAACCCTTCCGATAAATTATTTCCACTTCAATACAAAGCAAATCAAGGCTTATTATTATAAATAGCCACCAAAGAGAGGACCTCTAAATCAAAGTGGAAAGAAAAACGGATACAATTCATATCGAACAAAGCAGCCGTTGTACAAAACCCGACAACCTTCCTTGTTATTACAAAACCTCGTAAAATCACCAACCGCTGTCCCCACGCACCGAGCACAATTTATTCCCGATAAATCCTCGGTGCACTGCACCAAAGCATAGAGGGTAACAAGAGAAGAAATCACACTCTTCCCTTTGCCGAACCCTTTTTGCGAAGGCCTAACAGCCTCAGAAGTGATCTTATCCATTAGCTCTCCTAGTTTTCTGCTAAAAACACGTTTATTTTTCACGTTTTCGACATTCGAAAAGTATATACCGTCGCCAGAAGAAAAATCGACTTGTCCGAAGAATTTGGAGGGCTTGTACGTGAGGAAGCAATAGTCGAACCAAACTCTGGCATCTGATTGGTCAGGGCATTGTTCACGTAGGTCCTTTGCTGCTTCTTGGATGCAGATCGAGCAGTTGGTTTTGCTAACGTCACCTCTGCATTGTGACAGACCGTACACCTGAGCTTCTGCTTCGCCTGAGGAGGCTGTGACGAACCCTTTTCGGACGGCCCCGGCGACTAACTTAGACAGCAAGTTATCGATGTTTCTTGATATTTGAGTGGTGTTGCTTGTTTTGGTGTCGTCGTTGCAGGAATATACCAAAGGAGATGCTGATTCCGTTTTGCTGAAGCTGAATAGGAAGAACAAGACAATGACATTGTAGATAAGATTCATTTTGTTGCACAAAATTATTAAGAGTTTGGTCAATATTAGATATATATAAATTCACTATTATAGTGCCGATTTTCTTGAATAATTCGAGCAACCAAGAAACGAAAAAGATTTTGTTTTTATTAGTGGAAAAATTGGCATCCAAGGTCCACCCCTCCTAGTAGTACTAGTTGTCGTTGCACATGGGGACCAGCATGCTGCAGGCCATTCGATTTTTCGGGTTGTGTTTTCCTGTATCGATCCAACGGTTGTAGATGAAATCGACTATGTATCACTTGATCCATACATAAGGCCAAAAAACTAACTAGTGGAGGTTTCTTACTCCAAAACAAGTGACTATACTCAAAATTTCTAAATACTTTCGTAAATTTGGGATTGTATTTCGAGACTCAAAACTAAAGCGGTCCCACATTAAATTAATACAAAGAACCTTCAATCATTGAAATCTATGTATTTCTTGAGTGATGATACATTTTTAACACATAGGCAAACTTTTATTTTCTGACCATTCCAAAATGAAAGTGCAAACTAGAAAACGATTACTCGAAAATACAAAGCTAAATCCTCGAGAAGAAACTCTTACTTCATCGAAGAAAACTCAAGGTTTAGTAGCCACAAAAGACTCGTGAATCCCCGAGCTAGAAACTAAAGAATCCTTCGAATCAAGTGGGAAGAAAAACGGGTAGAGTTCGTATCGAACATAGCAGCTGCTGTACAAAACCCGACAGCCTCTCTTGTTATCGCAAAACCTCGGGAAATTGCCGACAGCAATCGCCACACACTGAGCGCAGTTTATATCCGAGAGGTCTCTCGTGCACTGCGCCAAAGCGTAGAGAGTGACAAGAGGCGAAACCTTACTCTCCCCTTTCCCGAGCCCCTTATTTTGCGCGGGCCCCACAGCCTCCGAACGAATCTCATCCATCAAAGATCCCAACTTCCCGTTAAAATCATCGACACCTGTCACATTCTCCACGTTCCAGTAGTACACGGCAGGAGAAGTGTCCACCTGTCCGAAGAAAGTTGCATGGCTGTAACGTAGGAAGCAGTAGTCGTACGTAATTCTCGCATCCGATTGGTCCGGACAGAGCTTCCGGATACTTTCCGCTGCGTCTTTGATGCAAACCGAGCAGTCGTTTTTGCTAACGTCGCCTCTGCATTGCGACAGGCCGTAGATTTGGGAGTCTGCTTCACCCAAGGACGTTGCGGTAAAGCCGTTTTGGACGGTGCCCGATACTAATACCGAGAGCAAGTTGTCGATGTTTCTCGATATCTGGCTCGTGTTATCTGTTCTGCTATTGTCGTTGCAGAAATTTGCCAGAGGATCTGCTGATTCTGTTAAGGAGAAGAAGAGAAAGAAGAAGAGAAACAGCAAATTGGAGATAAGTTTCATTTTGTTTGTTGCACATAGTAAAGAGTTGGCTAATGGGCTTTGCTTTTATATACTAAAGAGAAGATATATTTTGAACTGCAGACTTTCTTGACTTAGTGGCAACCAAGGAAACTTCATTTTGTGTGGAAAATTCTTCTAGAAGAGAGAAGTTTCCATCAAAAAGTAAGTCAATTTGGACTTTGGAGCAAACATGTAGTAGCCACAAATTTCCCATTATATGGATCTTTGGTTGTAGTAAGCTCTTTACCAATCATTTTAAACAATAAACACTAGTGTTTGTCTAATTATCAAAATAGGGGTGAGCACTCAAAACTCACTACAAAGAAAAGGGTAAATTACGGGCACCCTCTAAGGTAAGATTAAATTACGTAAAAGTCTTTTGTGTTTGGGTAATTACAACCAACAACCCTCCTTAATAATGAATCTTCTTACACGTCCATTTTTGCGGTGTCAAATTTAGTAGAATCGTCTGAAGTATGTCGAGTATTCTCTAGTTTGTACCCGTTTTACCCCATTCGAGCTCCACATTTTGAAACAAAATGATCATAAGATGTCCCTTTAGCTTGTAAATATCAACTTATGATGCATTAAAAACTGCATTTTTTAAAACAAATACAAACTAGAGAATATTCCACGGAATCTAAAAAATTATATTGAATTTGACACCATAAAGGTGGACGTGTGAGAAAATTCCTAGGTGAGGGGAGTGGTTGCAGTTACCCAAACATGAAGGACTTTTTCGCAATTTGACCAACCATGAGGGGATGGCCGTAATTTAAAAAAACAAAAAAGTTTGACCTTCATATAGACAGTAATGTAGATAACATAAGTCCACAACACTATGGACATCTGAGTTTTACTCTGAAATACACAGAAGAGAGATCATTAATTCACAAGTAACAAACATGAAAATAGACAGGAAAAATTACGTAACTCGTACGGGGATATCGAGCTTGACATCCCTAAAGAAAATGGCAACACAAAAAATGTCGATTATTTTTTCAAGAAGCGAATAGAACAAAAAAAAAAAAAAACTCAGACTAAACTCTAATTCTCGGACATGAAACGAGGAGTTAATACCGACCAATCAAAATGAAGTCATCGTCATCCAAGACCTGAACATCCGTCTCCCCTACAAAATTCTCCCTTCCAATCTCATTCACTATATTCACAAACTCGATTCTCTTCTCCAAAGGAAGCGGTACGTAAGGCAGACGGAAAATCGGCCTCACAACACCAAGCTGAGCGAGTGCCGTATTCAAACCAATAGGGTTCGGCTCGTGAAACAGCCACTTCATTAGAGGTAAAAGCTTCGCATTCAGTGACGGATTCTTCCCTCCAAACATAAGCTCCCTCATCAAACTCGGTACCAAATTGCTCGTAACCGAAATTACTCCTTTACCCCCATAATCCCACCTCGAATCATGGCACTCATCGTCATTCCCACTCCACACAACCACTCCTTTACTCGTATACCCCTCCACCCTATCGTGTCCAACGCACTCCTTCACCCCAGCAAAATTAGGGCTCTTGGACGCGTTCAAAATGACAGCTGGCGGAATATCCTGGCCCGTTCGAGAGGGCACGTTGTATATGATCGTGGGGCCCATGGGAAGCACGTTTTCAAAGTGGGAAATCAAACCCTCCAAGGAGGTCTTGCCGTAGTAAGGATTGATGTGAAGTGCTGCGTGCATTCCTACGGCAAACCCCTGTTCGGTTGCGTGGATTGCCTCGCGAGTTGAGTTGCTTCCGGTGTTTCCGATGACTTTGATGGACCCACCGAAGCAGTTGACTGTGTGGCCGATGAGCATTATGTGTTCGTCCCAGCTCATTAGCTGGCCTTCGCCGGTTGTGCCGCCAACAATTACGCCCTCGACTCCGTCTTCGATCTGCATGTTCACTAAGGCATCGTAGGCCACTAGATCGAATCTGCCATCTGGCAAGTAAGGGGTTTTGACGGCAGTTATCAGTCTAAGTGCCTTTATGTCGTCAACATTTGTCCTGCAAATAGAAGCTTTCACATCTCACGTATAGCTTTGTCTGGATATAGAATTCGTCGACTATAATGAAAAATAGCATATACCGTAATATATTGTCTTAAAGATAACCTTAGGTAGCTAAACAATTTTCCTTATAAGAATCGGTTAGTGTCATCCACCAGAGTTACGACAAAGGACTAGAAACATTTTCATAAGAAAAGGACGCAATTCGATCCAGGTACAGATTACACCCACCTTGTTTAGACGAGGGTTTTGGGTTTATAAGTAGGTTATGAATCAGGTGCCAAAGCATAAACGAAACACATTTATTTATATGTATAAAAAAATCATACATTGGAACTTATGTATGTATATGAGATACAGACACGTATACACTCACAAGTCACATCAGATTAAGAAATAAAGTATAATAAGATTAAAATCAGAATATAATTTATAGTTTAGAATCTCAATGTTCACATTTCAAAGTCATTATCTTGAGAAATAATAACAGGCACACATAAAGCGTCCGAGCAGCTAATTGTTAATATAATTGTTCGATCATACAGGAGAAACAAACCTACATTACACTTGAAGCATTGCTCAGAAAAAAACATAGTTTACTGAAATAAAACTATACGCGATGCAAGAATGTCCGCTCGCTACAAGATAAGGAATTAGGTCGAACTGTACCTGTTTTTAACTTCATAACTACGCATCGGGAGATGAGAATCGGGAATTACAGCAGCTCTAGGTGACCTCCATTTCGGTATCCCTCCTGCACGATAGTTGTCAGAACCGGCAGCAACATTATGTAAATTATTTATAACTAACTATTCAATTAAACCTAAACAATTAAAACAGAGCGCATCGAAAATAAAATCACATGAAGCGCAGCTTCTCTGATTTTTTCCAATTCTAATCGAAGGCCGAATTGCATATACTATAAATTTGCAATCGGCGATGTCGCAAAGCATCATTGATGCTAAAGACAGAATCTTTCGATAATGTGATACTTTCTACAGCCAATCAGGTTCAAATTAGACGCAACCGGTAAAACGAATTAATAAAAACGACAACTTTTCATACGAGGACGAACATAAAGCTTAAAGCAACATCAGAAATAAAAAAGATACGTATAAATTCACATCCTTGTTGAAATTATATACTATAACATGAAAATACTCGATAATGCAAGCAAAGATGAAATTGGGGAAAAACTAAAAAGCCACTCCTCTGTTTCCGATTATCAATGCGTGAATCAAGGAGCATGATAAAGAGTATACATTGCAGCAAACTTGCAAGTGAAAAAAACAATTTTGAAAATAAGTCGGCAAATTACAGATTCGCAGTACCTTGATGGATAGCCTTGAGAGAACAATATCCAAGAGCCGACGCCATTGAAGGGAGCTTAGGATAAGAGGGAAGGAGAGAGAATAGATTAAAAACGTCGGCGTTAACTCGGAATTAGCCGGTAATCGGAAGGTGCGCCGGAAAATGGACGGCGAAATGAGATTCTGAGTATTAGGGTTTTAGGGCTTGTGCTGAATTTAGTTGGTCGTTGATTATGTAAATATTTAGGGGGGGAAGAAAAGTCAAGCTATTAGGCAAGTATAATTACACCATCCAACTTAGGGTTAAAATTGGAATTTTTTAATTGATACTTTAAATTTTTAATTGTTTTTCTGCCCCAAAATAATTTTAAATTTCAATTTTAGCCCGAAACAGTGTCTTTCATTCGATGTGAACACGTGACGGGGGCCAAATATGTTTAAAATTAAACCTTGGAGGTGAAATTTGTTCACTTTAGAACAACATGGACCAAAAGTGAAATTGGGTTAAACATGGAGGCAAAAGTGTAATCACCCCCCTCTTTTAACACTTCAATCGGTTTTCTTTGCATAGAAAATATTTCAATAGCATGTAAAATCTAGAAATATCCCAATAATGTATAATGGTGAATTTAATTTATTTACTAAATAAAATAATAAGAAGAATAAAAATCAATATGTAGCATGTGGCCCCATCTTGAAATAAATAAGGATAAATTACGGACACCCCTAATATTAGGTTAAATTATGAAAAAATCCATTATATTTGAGTAATTACAAACACCCTTTAATGATAATTTTTTTTAAACACGTTCACTCTTGGGTTTTAAATTCAATGAATATTCTAGATTATATGGAATATTGTCTAGTTCGTAATCGTTTTACACTTTTACCCCATTCGAGTTCCACATTTTGAAACAAGATGATCATAAGATGTATCTCTTGGCTTGTATATATCATATTGTGGTGCATCACAAATTGCATTTTTGCACAAAACGAGTACAAACTAAAGAACATTAAACAAAATCTAAAAAATTCTATTGAATTCGATAATATAAAAATAAACATGTAGGAAGATTCATAGTTGATGGACTGACTGTAATTACCCAAACAAGAGGGGTTTTCGTAATTTAACCTTATATAAGCGTATGGCCGTAAATCTTAATTTATCCAATAAATAAACAAGTAATGAAAGTGAATATCTATCGTCCTTGCGAGTCCCACACCATTTCTTCCTTAGCTCACACCTAGAAATTATTATAAAAACCCCACCTCTTCTTCTTCCCATTTCACACACACAATCCAAAGACAAATCCAATTTGCAGAGAGAGAAATGGAGGAGGAAGAAGGCGGAGAAGATTACTTGTTCAAGATAGTGGTGATAGGTGACTCAGCAGTTGGTAAATCAAATTTGCTTTCCCGATTTGCTCGAGATGAGTTCGACCACAACTCAAAGGCCACCATCGGCGTCGAGTTTCAGACTCAGGTTTTGGAACTCGACGGCAAGGAGGTCAAGGCCCAGGTCTGGGACACCGCCGGCCAGGAGCGCTTCCGCGCCGTCACCTCCGCCTACTACCGCGGCGCCGTCGGTGCCCTCGTCGTCTATGACATCACCAGAATTACCACCTTCGAAAGCATCAAACGCTGGCTCGATGAACTTAACAGTATGAATCTCTCTCTCTCTCTCTCTCTCTCTCTCTCCCTCTCTCTCTTCCTGCATTCTTCATTCTAGCTTTATTATTCCATTTTTGTTTAATGTTAATCAATTCATTAAAATATATCAGTGATTGAAATCTCAATTAGTGATGAAATTTCACATATGATTATATGCTCGAAATTATACTTATGTACAATTAAACCAAATTAATACAGTTGCGACTACTGATCAAGATTCTATTAGTTCAGCGGAATATTAAATTATTGAATTAAATTAATAATTTAGTACATTGTCACCGTCAAGACAACCGAAAAAGAAATTATTAATTTATCGAAGTTCTACTATAAAATATTATACTGCACTCGTGACTCGATGGAATTTTTATTTTTTTACTTTTCTATTTTTTATTTGTTCTGTAGACAAAACATCATGTGATTTTTGTTGTTAATGTCATAAATAAGACAGTTGGTGGTGGGGTAGATAAACTAAATCCAGTATGGACAACCAACACTCTCACCTAATTTCATAAAACGTCCTTACATAATATATAGTTTATTGCAATTAGAACCCTTGTGTTATACCGCATTGCTAAAAGAACTCATCGTCTTATAAATATTAGCAAATAATCCCCTGCGAGGCATTTGGTTTAACATTCAACCCCTTAAGTGGTATGTTTTTAGGGGGTACTTTGCCTAAAAAATCGAATCATGTGGGGGATTTTGCTGATATTTATAACACGGGAATTTTTTGAACAATTAGCTAGAGTAACCACAAAGGAGCACGAAACACAATAAACCCTAATACGGGCGGAGAACGTAAGAGTGATTAACGAACACAACTTACATCTAATAAGGTTGTGTAGTCGACTTTCTACATTGCTGACGCAGTATATAAATATATACAGAGAGAAATCATTTTTTTGATCAAGAAAATACATTTTTTTTGTTCTTTTATTGACTCTTATTTCGAATGAACAATGCAGCTCATTGTGACACTGCAGTAGCAAAGATGCTCGTTGGGAACAAGTCCGATTTGGAGCACATTAGACAGGTGAGTGTGGAAGAGGCTAAAACCCTAGCGGAAGAAGAAGGATTGTTCTTCATAGAGACATCTGCCTTAGATTCCACGAATGTGAACAAGTCTTTCGAGATTGTTATACGCGAGATTTACAACAAGGTCAGCAGGAAAGTTCTCAACTCCGACTCGTATAAAGCAGAATTGACGGTCAACCGGGTCAACCTGGCAAATGGTGTCGATTTATCTAAGCAAAAAAGAAGCTCCTTATCATGTTGTTCTTCATGATTTAGTTTTCTTGTGTGCTTCTTTTGTTTTTTTATATCTATTTATTGTAACCAGTGACTATAAAACTAATCAAATTTTATAGCTAAGAATTTGAAATTCATTGAAGAATAATTTTGGAATAGAAATCTAGTAACTGTTCTTCTCTTAAAAAATAAATAAGTAAAAATAACAAAAGGCCGCTACTAATCGGAAAAAAAAAAAAGTAAAATAACTAATAAAAAAACAAAAAAAAAGCATTTCTCCTATATATTTACTTACATTGAAATATCTATACACGAAATCGTATCTACAGAAAACAGACCTGACGAAAAAAGTTCATGGCTTCCTCAAGGCAGAGGCAGCACCCATGACAACTGCCAATATGATCCCAACTCCAGCCCCGATCGAGGCACCAACTGTCGCTGCAGACAATGAATTCGATTTAGCTGCCGCATCTCTATCTGCGTATCCAGCAGCTGCCCTTTCCCTCGCCAATTCATAGAATATTCTATCTCTTGTAAGCTCCTGTCGAACAAAAAAAATGGGAATCCCCAGTCGAAATTAATTTCAAATATAACCCGTGTTTGCGAAAACAGTACTAACCCTGCTCAAGGTAGAAACAGTTACAACCGATTTTATAGATTTTGTATTTTTGTTTTATTTCTATTTAATTTTTGAATTATGCTGTATCAAAATCTGATTCCGCTTGATCTAATTCACTAGACAGAATTCAAACAAAATAGGGTATATAAAACTGAATTGACAGCCTCTAATCTTGTCCTAACTCGTCGGAGAGCTAGATTTGCCTCAGTTATTTGTCTCTTTCCTTCAGCTTTTCTCAAGTTAGCTTTATGCTATATCAAGATCTAGCTGAACTTTTTGTGAATCAATATCACAACCCTTTTCCACGTCATTTAGTATTTAAAAAGGCATTCACATCTACTTTGTCCATTTTTCCTTTCCGATTATATTTCCAAAAAACAAAATGGCCATGAAAAGAAGTTATACCTGCAAAGAAGCTTCTTCGTTACTCCGGAGCACGCGGTGGACAAGCTGACACAGATCTGCTACACCATCTACAGGGAGGACAGCTGGCTTCTTTTCGAAAGGCCTCTTCACAAGATTAAATGGATTGAATACAAAATTTTGAACGCCCTTTGTCTCATCAGGAACTGTGTTTGTTGCACGCCAAGAGAGAGAATCACCAGCGGCACTGGGCATAACATATGGACATGAATTGACAACCTCAGTTGAGCTAGGAGAGGCTTGATATGCATGCAACACAGCATTTATAGCTGCCTTTTGCTGGTGTGCACTGACGGAGAATTTGTTTGTTACTGCAAGTACCCAAGGAACACCGAGAGATTTGGCCTCGTCTAAGATTAGAGCCAAAGCTGGTGGCTGTGAGGCACTCGATTGGCCGTATCGAGGTATCCGATGAGACAAGTTGTGCACAAGGACCACCAAATCTATTTTCTGGCTGAGATCGCGTATTCCCTTCCATAAGTCATCTCTAAAACGAGAGGCCTCCATATTCAAATTCTGCATTTGAGATAAGAAAGGGAAATATCGAGAGTCAAAACCGTAAAAAAGAAAAGGATAATAAGTGAAGATGAATGTGCAAGTTAGAAGAAGTGGACACTAGAAGAGAGAAAGAAACAACATTTACTAAGTTCTTGCTTAGCCAAGGCTGCTCTTCCACCAAACACTGATATTGTTTAGATTAGACTGAAACAACATTTCAAATGCCAATTTACAATGAGAAATATGCAGTTCAACTTAAACTTTCGGGATAACCCGATGCCTTCATGACCCGATTTATCCAAATCTTATCAAGCGTTCCTTATGTCAGTGATTGGTAACCTCAAAGGTTTGTTCAATTTCCTTTATGAAGGGGAGAACATTGATTATGCTTTAAAAAAAAAGGGGAGAAGTAAAAAGCAATGATTTGAGAAAATAATAACACCCGTGGATAATTGCATCAAACTCCCTTGAGATTAGGCTTAATATCAGAAAACACCCCTTCGGCATTTTTCTATCAGATTCAACTTACAGTCATCACCCTGATGAAAATTAGTGATGACCCTTGATTTAAGAACTCTGTATAATAATACAAACTAACCAATAATGAATAGAGCGGCAACTCACTGATATCCAAACTATCAATAGCATAGAAACTGTAAAATCCCAACCGAATGATCAGTAATTCAACCATCAAAGGGGTACAGTAATTCGAGAAACACTTCCCGAAGAAAAATAAGTGTGATGATAACTGAAAACATCAATTGCCTATTGTTTAAAAAACGGCGGAACGTCAAAAGCTTATGGGTACATCCCTGGTTTTACCACCTTGAACACGAGAGGTCAACTAATGGACTAACAGCTTTTAAAAAAAATAATCCCCTGCACGCGAATGGATTGGATGAAATAAAAATGATAAGAGCTAGTTATAGGAGAAAACCTGCAAATTTACTCCTGTGGAGTCTGAATAGACTAAACCGCCAGCAATACCTTCTCGAAGGTCCACATCCATAGGAAAAGTCTCAAGAGTCGTAGTTCTAGTAGTTCTTCCCTGATCCAGTATTGCTTTGAGAAGAGAGGTTTTACCAGCTCCCTACACGATACATAAGCTTCAAATTCCAGCATGACAAATAAACGAAAAACGTTTAAGTGCGTGAAAGAATGATAGAATATTACCTCAAGGCCAATTAGCCGCACCCTGCGGGTTCTGAAATGAACCTCTTTAGCGACAGTTGAAAAATCAGTGGTGCAAAATACTACAAAATCACTTAGACCATCAGGATGGATGACTCTTTCATCCATTTCTGGAGATGCAATCTGCTTCAACTTCAGGTCAATAGAGCTTGGATCAATAGAAAGAAATGCAGGCATCAACCCTTCCTCGGATATTTGATGTTTTGGTGGTCGTCTCAATGGATCTCCAATTAGTATTCGCATCTTCTGCATCTCTTGTGGCAATTCATGCTGCTGAGAATATGGTGGCTGAGAAGGAAAACATTCCACTGTAGTTGAGCACCTGCCAGATTCAACCTTTGATAAGCAAAATAGACAAGTGTAGTGAAATTGGAGTAGCAGACACTTTTGCTCACTAAAAGTACAAGGAAACGAGTATAAAAGATGTTTAAATTATAATTACAACACTAGCAAAGTGGTTTATAATTTCCCAAACGGGCATAAATGATTTAGAGCTAAACAGATAATCTCAAAGCACTGTCGCAGCATTTTATCTTGATCATAGACTGTCAGCTCTGTAAGGTATAGATAGAGGGAAGGAAGAAATAAAATAATTGCATGAATGAAGACATCTTATGCCACGGCAGTTTTGTGGCATTTGTATGACCAATAAACGAAATAGCATTTATAACCCGTTTGGGTATGAACTCATCTACAGTAAGACTTACCTAAATAAGATTTTTTTAATCACCAAGACTAAAGTTCATGGGCAAATTTTAAATTCGTCATATGCATCTTCTAAATAATTAAGAGCATCAGCAAAAAAAATGATTTGGAAATGTCATAACATGGTTTTATTGTCTGCACAAAGATCCTTCAAACCTGTTATCTATTGTTTCTATACGATTACTTCTTTTGAAACATCAATTTAACATATTTTCAGTGCATTCCTTTAACAAACGAGCTACGCATTCGAACATGCCTGGAATCAAGAATCAAAGTGGAGATCTTTGCCTTTGAAGGGAAAAGGACTACAACTCTTGATATTTTTTTAACTCGTCGTGAGAAACACATTATTAACATTAACAGGAATAAAATGTTTCCATGAAGCGGCAAATTAGCTGGCTGAGGTTAAGGGATAGAATATTAGTTGATTTATAGGACTAAACTTCAAAACAATACTATGCAAGATCATACAGAATACCAAACTACAATGCAACTTTATGGGATGAATCTGAGCATTAATCAGCTAAGGGGTCAAGAAGAGTACCATTTACCATTCACTCGAGCTTGGACTAACGAACATAGGTGTAATCCAAAACCAGAAATGTCTACTTTCAAAGGGTCCCCAGTTTTTTCACAGGGAATACCAGTCCACCCAAGAGGAACCAAAGAAGTAGCTGCACGAATAATTGGAGGTTCAACAATATGCCCAAGTTCAACTGTACCAGAAACTGAAATTCCTATCCATTTTTGTAAATGTGGAAATTGCAGCTCTTGCTCCCTCCCCAAGAATGAAAATGCATTTTCTTTCATGCAGAGTCCATATATTCTGTAAGAAATAATTAGTTGGTAAAAGTCTATGCTGAAATCATATAAGACGAGAATAAAAATTTCTATAAAAGCGAAGGCACGTATAAATGAAATAAACACATGGTAAAGCAAAATGACAAGTTATGCAATGATTATCGACCTCAACTTCAATGTATTGCATATCAGCATTGATAAATAATTTAGAAGTTAACGCAAAATGGTCAAACCAGCTAAGATAAGTGTTGGATCAGTTTAGCTGTTATTAATCAGAAAAGTAAATTTGAGATATCTGCGAGAAACTAAGAGATATAAATCATCTTCAACTCCGTTGTATCTAACCGATGTTCTCGAAAATCATAATCACATAGCAAACCATCAAACCAAAAGTGCACCACAAGTCCACAACTAACACCGGGTCAAGCTACATGTGTTCAAGATGACTCTATTTCAGGGTGAAAGAAATATCAGCCTAAAACATCATGAAAGTAACACATAAAAGATATAACCATTCAACTTCAGCACTATTACATCAAAACAACAGTTAATCTTTTCCAAATTTTTCACATTTGGCTTTTCAATAATTTTCCATAACTGAAGAAAATCAGATAATAAGACCAAGTCAAACTCTACAATGCAAATGATTGAGAAAAAGTGAATAAACATACATGCACAAAAGTTAAATTGTGGTGTAAACAAACTTTTACTCAATAAATTTAAAATGAGGCTCAAGTATATGGAATAAAACTAAATATTTTTTAAAACAATTCAGAGAAAAGGGCCAATCACATGCAATTGCTTGCATTATACTGGTTGAGCACAATAATTTGGCACATGACAACTGCTAACAGGGAAAGAAAAAGGTAACAAAAATTCAAAGTATTACTTCTGAAACCGGGACCTATATGACTTCATTGAATGTGATTGAAATCGCTCTTTTACTTCAGCAAGTACAGATTTGACCTGAAAATGACAATTCCAAAAGATTACAGGAAGGACGAAACTAGTTCATTACAATGCAAGGATCACTAGATTCTGTCGAGTAAGGAAGAAGACGAGAAGCAGTCACTATAAAAGCAGAGATGAATAAGTAGCCAACTTACCGAGGTCAATTTTGAGTATTCTGAACCAGATAGTGATTCCACAGATGAATTTCCCAAAATATAAAGCTGTTAAAAAACAACAAAATTGAATAAGCCTCAAGTATAAAGACTAACTGGGATACAAGCAGTATAAGCATTCAATATGAAGAAAAAAAAGACATATATAATCCTTCTTTCAAACGTACGTATGTAAAATTGAATTGATACATGACTTTTTGGTAAGTTCTTATCCTATATAATAATACCAACCAGAAGAGGAAAAGATAATTAATTGATGATCTTACTTGCCCAAAAGGTACATATGAAGGTAAGGAAGGTATGCTGCGCCATGCCCTCTTCTCCCCACTGCTACTGCTATTATTTCCAGATGATTTTTCATTTTTCACTACTACAGAAATCCCTTCATTTTTTTCAGGTAAAGGTCGGAGAGAAAAACCATCAGAATCCTCTTCTATCTCAAGAGACTGTGGAGGAGTAACTATATCCTCAATGGATGATGCTGCAGCAGAATCATTATTAACGGATGTTCCAGCAACATTTCTCCCCCTATTATAGAACTTGCTTTTAAGACCTTCAATGGGGACGAGTCTTGAAAGTCTCCAAAAGGAATTCTGCACAGGACCTAAACCCAAAACCAGTTGCTCTCCTTCATTCTCTTTCAATCTTTCGGCCTTCTGCTTCTCTGGTCCTCTATATTTTGACATGGATGATGAAGTTTCAACTTTAGTTGGTTCCAAGGGGTTTTGGGAGTTATAGTGATGAAAATATGCTGGAGATAGTATTCGAGGCACCAGGTCTTCAGGAATGCAATAGGTTTTGAAATAATGCTGCCATTCTTTTCCATTAACATAGCTGAAAAAAAGCATGAGAGGAAGGTTGATAAAGCGAATTTAAATATGAAATACATCAAGTAACATGGTATAAAACATACTCTCTAAGAGCAGCATTTCCTACTGGAGGCTGGGAGAATGTGATACACTTCACCTGGACCCTATCAGTTTCTTTTGATGTAACAGAGATAACCCTCAAGATAGCAAGGGTAGCGAGAACTGCAACCTGAACAAATAATTCACTTCATAAATGCAAGTTTATAGAGTTAAAGCAAGTTTTTTGGGTTAACAAGGACATACTGCTCCACCAAGTGAATGTCCACATAATACAAGTTTTCGTTTCTTTTTCTGTGCTAGCCTGTACAACTCCAATGCAGGTATTCCTTTAGCGCGAGTCATAAATCCCTATCGACGGTCAAATGAAATTATAAACCACAAGGAGGAGCATAAAAGGAAATGCATGCTTTTGCAGTGAAATAAAGAGCATCCTTTTTAAAAGATAATGGATGTACATATCATTGTAGAAAACAAAATACCAAAGAATGCCTCCAGTACCCGATGAACAGCAGGCTTTGATGTAAAATTTGTTTGTTTAGGGTTAGTTTCCATATGTGTTGTGCCATTCTCCCCATTATCCATTTGACTATTAAGTTCTGTAGATTCAATCCTATTAGCATCCGCCATTGCATTATCATGGAAAATGGCACCTTGAAATATATTTGCATCAGCCATGACATCCCTTTATAACAAGCCAGGTCAAAGAGGAAGTAAAACACAATTTAAACAATAATTTTGGAAAAACATAAACAGTTCGCTGAAAGAATAGATCTCATACTTACTTGTACTGCTTGGTCCCAATGAAGGAGGCAAATAAAGTGTCTCCTGCTTCAGCTAAAAGATACCTAGTAAGTAAGAAAGCACGATGAAGCTAAGCCATAGGACAATGTATGCAAGTATTATCATCTACTAAATAAGTTGCAACAAGAGAAGGATGCAAATGCTTAAACTTGACGTGATAAGCTAATACAGAATAAATCAAAACGCAACGAAAGACAAGTTATTTTAACAAGTGCTGGACCATCGACCGTAGAAGGATTTGGAACATGAGCAAGAATATTGGTCCTCTAAGAAGTTAAAGCATATTCTTAATTCCCCCTCCCTAAATCACCGCCAATTCCAAAATTTACAAAAAGAAAATAAAAGGCGGAAAATAAGAAAGGATACACTAATATTGGCTCCTTCCCTACTCCACAACAGTTCCTTTTTCAAGTTATAATGCACTTTGGGGGACCTCATTAACACTATTAATTCTCTTCAGCACGCGCTTGTTTTTTCTCCAAAACCAATGAAGAACCAGGATGCGGTTTTATTTCAGATAATTAGAACCAAAAGTCTATTTCAGGGCAGGGAGAAAAAGAAATGGGCATTTGTGACAGAATCGGGGTTGCCGATGCTATTTAATATGCAATGATCTGGACCATCCTCCTTTCCGCTACTACTTGCCGACGATTCACCTATATATTCTCATCTTGCATAAGCTCTACATCTGATGATGGAGCCATGCAAAAAACTTTTTTTCTTCAGGTGTAAATTGAGATTCAAATTAAAAAAATGCTGGTAACACATGAAGACAAGTAGGGTTGTTCATGGGTCGGGTCGGTTGATTATCGGCCGATTATCGGCCCGACCCGACCAACCGACTCTTACAAATATGTAAAACCATTATCGGCCCGACTATTGTGAGTCGGGTAATGGTTGGCAACCGACTTTGTCGGTTGCCAAAACGGGTCGGTTGAAATTATCGGCCAATATCGGCCACATTAATTAAAATAAAAAATAAAAAATAAAAAAAAATTATGCTATTACTCTATCAAAATTCAACAACAAACATTCCAATATTTCATGCCCAAAATCAATTTCAACGATATCACATGTTACAAATTAAATTTTCAAAAACAATATAAAAACTAAAACGAATCACTTTAGCCATTCACACTTTCACAACACAAAATTATGAAACTTTTAATTTTAATTTGAGAAAATGAAGAGTATAGTTTTTTTAGTTGTGTATTTTTATTCATTTACCGAAAGGTCAAAAATTAAATATTGAAACTAATAGTCGGTAAAAACATAAAGAGAATTTTTTTTTTTTAAAAAAAAAAAAAAAAAAAAAAAAAGTCGGTTGGTCGGGTAATATCGGCCAACCGACTTTTCAACAAATTAGAAACTATACCCGACCCAACCATGCATGGGTCGGTTAAAATTATCGGCCCGACCAAAACGGGTCGGTTGGTGGGCAATTATCGGCCAGAATAGTCGGGCAGATAATGGGTCGGTTGTCGGGTAAAACCGACCCATGAACAACCCTAAAGACAAGTATCGAAGGAAAAATCTCATTTCGAGAATGAGGAGACATGTTTAGAACACACAGAGAGGTGTAGGTAGATATTAACTTTAGATCATGTTTCATGTCTATTGTAGTCCTTTTACTTGTGAACTGACAACTGCTTTTCAGTAGAACTTGGCAAAGATTCATGTAATAAATTTAACACAACCACATCTACCCCCCCCACCCCACTCAATCTTGATTTGCCCTTGAATAACTATAATGACAATAACAAATATAATATCTCCAAACAAATCATCAGATCAGCATACTAAATATAAACAGAAAATTAGTACTGAAGTATTAACTAAAACAAAAATGAGTAGATCAAGAAAAAGCATATGTACTATTTCATCAAAAAACCTGTGAGGAACATGATCTGAAGAAGGTTGGACACGCTCTAAAGATACTACTTGCCCTCCAAAGTCAGCCTTAAATTTGTTCACTGCTCGAACCATCTCCGCAGCAGGTCTCTAACATGATGGGGAATACAATGTCAAGATTATGAGGTATTATCCACAGTCCAATATAAATACTAAAACCGGAGATAGGGTGACATTACTTTTAAGACAAAAATTGAAAATTAACACGAAAATTCCCCTAATACAATAATTTACTTAATGCTGCATTCATATTTTGAAGCGTTTAAAATCCAATCTAGCTGTCCTATCAAATGAAAAATACAGCCAGAGAACACCTCAAAATATGTATTTTAGGGCCTCTCATTATCTGTACAAGTACTTGGCATTAACAAATCAGATTTCACTAGAATAATATTTTCTCAGTTTGCCACCCGTTGCACCTTTCTGGTGAACAAGATGATGATATAACAGCATTGCTGACTAATTCAAAGTAGATCGTAAAAACGCATCAAATAACATAATGTATTCATAAATAACATTAAAATGCATATAGCCTTAAATTGATAAATGAAACTAATCCTTCAAACAAAGCTGCAATTTGGTCAAAATAATCTAAGTTTTATAACTCCCACGGTGCAAAGTCGAAACAGAAGCACCACCATCAAATTCAAACAGGAAACAGAACTAATCACAAACTTAAATTACCAGAAAACTTCACCTAAAAAAAAGTTCAAAACATTCAAATTCACAGCACAATTTCACCGCCAAAAACTTCAACTCAATTTGAAAGAGAAATGCACCTTGTAGACGCACTCGGAAAGGACCATGCAACAGAGAATTTCCTGCAAATCGGAGAGCGTCTCCGCCTTGACGGCGTAACACAAGTCCTGCAGCTGCTTCTTCTGGCACTCCAGCTCCTGCTGGATCATCTTCTGCTGCTCCCGGCGGCCGTTCGGCCACGGCCACTTCACCGACATCCTCCACGGCGGCGGCCACGTCACCCTCATGATTTTGGTACTCTGATCCTTGATCCACGTCTCCACTCTCCTCTGCAGTGTCTCCATTACCCATGCACTCTGCAAAACCCTAATCGGATTTTGACACGGTGGGGGGCGAGTCGAGAGAAAGGGAGGAAGGATCTGGCGGTTAATTGGTGGCGACCGGGGGTTTATGCCTTATGGGCCTATACGATGTGAAATGTGGGGAGTATATGCCCAATTCCGTATCCGTATCTGTATCCCATCTCTTTTACTAGTTATGGGTGTCAAATGATTTTTCTGAAATTTTAGGGGGATCTATTTGCAATAACAAGAAAACTATTTTCCATCCAAGAACATAATTTTATAATTATTTACTTAATTCCATATCATATGTTTCTATCACAGGATAAATTCGTCAACATCCATCACCGAGTAGGGTCCGAGCGAAACCGTCCAATAAGCACCGGCAACATGAAACCAACGACGTTGCCTTCTCGTTCTCACTTCCATCAACGAGTAGGGGCCGAGCAAAACTCAGACACCACTAGTATCACTGGGAAGTTGGACGTTACACCTATGGGTGGTAAAAGAGCCGAGCCGATTCGTGAGCTCGATGAGCCGGCTCGAAAAAGCTCGACCTCGAACTCGAGCTTTCTGACGAGCTGAACTCGAGCCAGTTTTTAGTTGTTCGTGAGCTCACGAGCCCTTATTATTATTTTTTTTATATTATTTTTTTATTTAAATAATGTATAATAATATAAAATATTATAGAAATAAATAAAATATAAATGTTAAAAATATATATAATTACAATTTATTGTTTATTTTGTATTTTTTTAAAATAATTTTTAATAATAATAAAATAATAATTAAAAAAATATTTAAAAAAAATAAAAAGAAAAACAACAAAATGAGTTTGGCTCGAACTCGAGCTCGGCAAAATGGCACAAGCTCGAGCTCGAGGCAAAAATTAAAGAAACGAACTCGACGAGCTCGAGCTTGCCAAAAGAGGCGAGCTCGGCTCGTTCACACCCCTAGTTACACCTGATTATTTACACCTAGCAGATTTCAAATAAACCACTCACTAACCACACTACACACGATTGTGTGGGTGATTATGTGTAGATCTACGATTACCCGATATCACCAACCCTAGTTTCCTAAATTTTCAAGTTAGAGTCTTCACTACCCTAGTATTATTATTTCTTTTTTTTTTTGGTTTCTTTATTCTTATACTGTCCAATTACAAAAATATTGTTTTTATCTTTATTCAAATTAAATATCATAAATTTTAAATCGCGAAATTTGTAGATACATAAGAGCTTTCCAATGCTACTTGAATCATTGCAATCTGATATCGTATGAAAAATTTGTGATAAAGTACCTAACTTTAGGTTGTTTTGTTGTGATTTATGACCATTATTTAATTTAAAGTTCACTAATCACATTTAGGTTGTTTTATTGAAAAATATAGCTCTACTTCGTCAGCTTACAATACAACTTGAATGAACCCAATCAGGTCAAATGTATAGCTAATCTTGTTGTATGAGATATTGTTAATTCATTACAATTTAGAAATATGGTGTAAATCGAATTAAAGCAAAAAAGTTTTAGATTTCCTCACATATTTTCACTGAAATTTGAATCACTGCAATGTTAACATATTCCACATGACTTATTTTATTCAATGTTACTCGTGTACAGAATAAGATTAAGTTACAACTATTTTTGACACTAATTTAAATTGAATCTCAAACATTACAAAAAACACAAAAGTGATAGGATTTTCATGATGTTTCGATACAATCGGATTTTGTACGAGAAAGTTACGATCAGAAGTACTCCACATTAATTATTTTACTAAATCTTATTCCACATTCCATTAATTTAATGATTTATATTGTATTCGAGATCAAGATTAACGTAATGGAATGTTTACCGTGCATAATCCAAATCAAATATTATAAATTACGTGTAAAAGTTATATATCTTTACGTCGTCACACACAACAACAACAACAACAACAACCGCAACTTGAATCAGCACAATCAAAATTCGTGTGAGAAAGTCTGATCATAATAAACTAAATAGAACATCACGCAATATTCATACTACCCGAGACAATAACATAACACAATCTAGCAGCTCATAATTAATTAAATTCGACTCAAATAAAATCGATCGGATAGCCATGAACTCAAATATACTCATTGTAATATACCACTAATTAATTTAATTTGATTGTCCATGAAATTGAGATATTGTTTTTATAGTCGATTCCAATTTTTGAACTAAAAAAATCTCAACCAATTTTCAAATTTTATTTTATAATAAATGCAATTAGTTGGGGTGAATTTAAATACTAATAATCCTAATTAATACAAATTAATACTAATTAGTAAAAGATTCCACCCCAAAATCTCTTTCCTAATTTCCCTCCCTACCAAACATAACCTTACAGTCAAAATAAATTCATATATATATATATATATATATATATATATATATATATATATATATATATATATATATATATATATACGTCGGAGAATTCTCCACCTCCGTCAATGGCGTCGTCTTCCTCCTCCTCCCTCCTGGTAGCCACCGTGTTCCTGCTGACAGCAGTTTCGCTATTCTCACCGTCACAGTCGGCCACGTGTGCGTCACAGACGTTCACCGGCGGCCGCGACAGGGTGTACACTTTCTGCACCGATCTCCCCGCCCTCGATTCGTACCTCCACTGGTCGTACGACCAACCGGAATCGACCCTATCCATCGCCTTCGTCGCCGCCCCGACCCGACCCGAGGGATGGATTTCGTGGTCCATCAACCCGACGGGCACCGGCATGGTGGGCGCGCAGGCACTCGCCGCGTTCCGGGATTCGAGGGGCGGGATGGCCGTTAAGACCTACAACGTGACGGGCTACGGACCGTTGAAGGAGTCTAGGGTTTGGTACGAGGTGAAGGAGTCGTCGGCGGAATATTCCGGTGGGGTTATGAGGCTGTTCGCCACCCTTGTTTTGCCGGCGAAGGGGTTGACGGCGGTGAACCACGTGTGGCAGGTGGGCCCCTCGGTGACGGGAGGGGTGCCAGATAAGCACGAGTTTAAGGCGGGGAATATGAAAGCCAAAGGTATTCTTGATTTGTTGAGAGGACAGAGCAATGGTGCTGCCGGTGGTGATTCTAAAACCAACAAGAGGAATGTGAGTTTCTATCTTTTTTTTCCCCCTCTCTTTTTTTTCTAGTTAATATTTCTTCTTATTATTTGTTAGAGTAATTGATGAACTTTTAAGAATATTTTTTCATTACTATTTTTAATCTCCTATTGAATTTGGTTCCGAAATCAACTTCAGAAAGTAAAAAAATTTGACGATTCCGATCCGAAATGTTTCAATTTTGGAACAATATTTTTCAGTTCGAATTCCAAAATTCCGACTTACTATTTTTCCGAAATTATTTGGATCGAAATTGGGATTTATATGAGATTCCGATTTCCGATCCGATTTAAGTTCAGAAAATAATTCCAAAAATTCCGATTTTTTATTTCTGAATATTATACTTAAAGTACCAATATTATTATGTATTTTATATTTAAGGTGACCAAAATTTGAACTTTCCGAATTCCGCCGATTTCGATCCAAAATTTTTCGATTTTGAAACAAGTTTTTTCATTCCATTTTCAGATTTTCAAATTTTTCTTTTTTTTTTGGAACGGAATTAGAACTATCCGACCTGACGGTCCGATTTACATTCCTAGTTAATTAATCCCAACAAATTACAATGGCCTTGTCGCCAAGCTATCAATTCGGAAAAAATACAATCGATTGATTTACCAGTTCTTGATATTGAAATAAATGTAGTAGCTAGTAATATAATATAAATTTGATAATTATTTGTGTTCAGATTCATGGGATACTAAATGTAGTGAGCTGGGGTATAATGTTTCCAATTGGAATAGTAATGGCAAGATACTTGAGAACGTTTCCTTCCGCCGATCCGGCATGGTTTTATCTACACGTTTCGTGCCAAGTTTCTGCATACGCCATCGGTGTGGCTGGCTGGGCGACCGGTCTAAAGCTCGGTAGTGAATCCAAAGGCGTTACTTATTCGTACCATCGCAATATTGGCATCGCCCTCTTTGTTCTATCGACTTTGCAGGTAAATATTTTCTTTTTTCATGTATATTCTTATTGTTGGAGCTTGTTTGAAATTTTATTGATCGATTTTCGAAAAATGTGTTTGGACTTAATTTCGCAATTATTCGAGTCGAGCTTGAATGAATTTTAACTGAATTAAACTTCCGCCGATGTTGATCAGCATATATATATTTTCTTTTTTGAAACAATATTTTTCATTCCGAATTACAAAAATTCCGATTCCCCTTTTTCCTTCAATTTTTTTGAATTGTGATTGGAATATATATGACCCAATACCTACTCCAATTTTATTTTTCAAAAATTCTGCTTCTTTTTTTTTTTCGAATTTTACATTTATTAAATATCATTATTATTATGTATCTTACAATACAAAACAAAAATCGAGTCTCTTAATTCTGCCGATTCCAATCCGATCGTTTTTAAATATGTTTTCCATTCCGATACCCGATACTTCGATTTTTTTTTACCTTTTGGAACGAAAGTGGAATATAGTTTCCAATTCGATCTATCCGATTTCACACATAAACCTCAAGCGTCAAACATCAAATAGTTTGGTCTGATTTTCAGCCCTTTATAAATTGTGTTTTCATATGTAGGTATTTGCATTACTATTGAGACCGAAAAAGGACCACAAGTACCGATTGTATTGGAACATATACCACCACGGAGTCGGATACTCGGTTCTAATCCTCTCCATCATCAACGTCTTCAAAGGCTTCGACATATTAAAGCCCGAACCCAAATGGGAAAATGCATATATTATTGTTATCGGAATTGTCGGAGGCGTTGCAGTGTTGTTGGAAGCAATCACGTGGACCGTAGTCGTACGGAGGAGAAAGTCGAAGAACCAATCTCTTTCACCATGATCAAAGAGATCTTGGCCCTTCATTTGCAATGTGTTGTGTGAATTCATTAGCTTATTCTAGTGAACTACATTTTTGGCCCCCATGAATATGTGGAGCTTGACGAAATAATGTTGGGTTTATTGTATTAGACTATTAGTCAGTACATGTGTTAGATTAAATTGCCAAAAATACCTATAAGTTGTAAAAAAAAATTACTTGGCATTTAATGAAAGGGGTGTGTTTAATCCCATATTAAAATTTACTAAATCCCACACATAAATTAAAAAATAATTCTCTCTACTTATATTTTTTCTAACTTCTCTCTAAAATAATTTTATCAAAGTCACCCAAAATTCATTACTTAATTACGTGAATAATCATAAAAAATGAGTTCAATTTTATTAATATTTATTTAATTTCATTAAGCCTTTTTAATTATTCAAATTCATATCAATTCGATTTGTTTTTTCTCAAATTCCAATTTTATTTCAGTTTGGACACCTGAAGATTTTTCTCAAATTCGGACTTGGAATGCTAGGGACGTTTTTAGTGTGTGATTTTGTGAAAAAGTTAGGGAAAAGAAGAACGGTAGAGAAGGAGTAGAGAAGATTTTAGAGAGATAAATATTTTCAGTTGTGTGCAGGATTTGGTATAATTAGTGTGGGATTTAGCATTTCAGTTAATCAATGATCGAATAAAAGCGTATGGGTGTATTTTTTTTTTTTATTGTATGCAAGTAAAATAACACAAAATATGTATATTGTTAAAATTGTTAGGGTAAATTACAACCACCCCGAGGTATAGTTATTTTACGGAAAACCCCCTCATGTTTGGATAATTACAACCACCACTCAATTATAAATTTTCTTACACGTCCACCCGTGCGGTTTCAAATTTAGTGGAATCTTCGAGATTATATGAAATATTATCACTTTTATACCTGTTTTATCCCATTCGAACTCCACATTTTGAAGCAAGATGATTATAATATGTGTTTTTTGACTTGTATATATCAGATTGTACTGCATCATAAACTGTATTTTACACCAAATGAGTACAAACTATAGCACAATCCACGAAATCTAGATGATTATGTTGAATTTGACACCATAAGGGCTGAGGTGTAAGAAAAAATCATAGTTAAAGGGTAGACGTAATTATCCAAACAAGAAGGATTTCCTCGTAAATGACCATTCCTCAGGGGTGATTGTAATTTACCCAAATTGTTATGAATTTGAATTAGCTGGTTCACCTCCAAAAGTAAAAATATTTGGATCAAAATCGGAAAAATTCGGGGTTTCTATTTTTTTTAGTCTCCTATAGTATAAAATTCATAATAACAAAAATTATTGGAACTTTCGGGATTCATAATGAAAAATATTATTTCAAAATCGTAAATAATTTTATCAAAATTCAAAATTTTCTTTCCGATTCCACACCAGAGCCTAATTTTTCATAATATATATATACAAAAAGTTTATTGTTTTATTAAGAAAAAAGGGTTTTTCTTCTACTAATAACTTTAAAATTTTAGTTTAAAAATAGAAAATAAATATTTGTAATTTAATCATACAAAAATTATTACATATTATATAATATATATATTATACATAGTTTTATATATTTTCGAATGAGCATTCAAGAACCTAATTATAATACTTTTTATCTTGATCCATGGTTTATATATTCTATCAACATTAAGTTACAATCTAAAGGCATATTGTCATCTATTTAATTTGTTGTTCTATTAAATGAGTTGTGACTTGTGAGATATTACATAAATTATATTTTAGAATTATTCAATATAAAAGATAGATCATTTAATTTGAATTTTCATCTTAGGTCTCTGAATTAACTTTGTTTGAAATAATCTCAAGTGAATAACTTTCTAATATAATATATAAAACCCAAAATTTTATTAAAAAATCATCTATCAAAATAATTCCCAATAATAAAAAAAAAAAAAGCAAAGCCTAATATAAAATAGTAATTAAATGACTAAAAAATTAAAAAACAATCTAAAAACTAAAAAAAACTCCAAGTAGCACAAGAATTCCGTACAACCGGAACCCACCTCCATAAATCATCGAACACGAACTATCATTCCCGCTCTCTCTCATCGGAGCTGGGGGCGGCGCGTTCACTCTACTACTCGCCAGAGGTGGGGGCGGCACAGTCCCACTACTCCTCGTCGGAGGTGGGGCCACGTTCCCGCTACTTCCCGCCGGAGATGGGGCGACCTTCCCGCTACTTCTCGCCGGAGATGGGGCCACGTTCTCGCTACTTCTCGCCGGAGATGGGGCCACGTTCCTGTTACTCCTCGCCGGAGGTGGAGCCGTGCTACCAGTACTCGCCCTCGGCGGAGCCGCCACCGCCGTACTTTCCAACCGCAAAGTGCCAGTCGAGATAAAATTATCCGCACCGAAAGCGTGCGCCGCCGGGACACCATTCCTCACCGACGCGCCGACCTGCCATACCTGGTTCAGCTCCACGTCACCCTTCGTCGCCGGCATTCTTAGAGTGGCGAATATCGTCATAACCCCGCCAGAAAACTCGGCCTGCTTGCTCAGAACCTCGTACGAGATCGGTGACTCGGCGATGGAAAGGTAAGAGGTGATATTGTACGTCTTCACGACGGCGGAGCCGCTGGTTTCTCTGAAGGCGACGAGAGCTTGAGAGCCAACCATGCCGGAGCCCCTCGGGTTGAGTGCCCACGCAACCCAGCCGTCGGGGCTCGCCGGAGGAGCGACGAAGGCTAGGGTTAGGGTTGGATAGGGAGCGGCGGATGAGTCGTAGGTGTAGTGGAGGAAGGCGCCCAGGGCGGGGAGATCCGCACAGTTGGCGAAGGTGGTGGTGCCGAATGTCTGAGATTTGCATGTTTGAGAAGTCGCCGGAGATGCTAGCAGAGATACGGCGGCGATGAGGAGGAGAAGAGAAGAAGGGAAATAACGTAGAGAGGAAGCCATGTGTACTAACTAGGGTTTGTGATTATTAATGCATGGTGGAGGATGATCGAGTAGTGTTTATATATATAGAGTTGTATGTTGTGTCCTAGTGGAATTGGGAATGGTTCTAATTATTAGTATTTGATTAAGTTTGAATTGTTTAATTATTTGGATTCTTTCTCACATTATCGAGATATCTAATTAGATTGCAATTCGTTAATCAAAGGTTAATCATGATTAACTAAATAATAGGACTTTAATTTGTTTGATGTTTGGTATCACAATAACTTGTCGAATCAATAGGACTTTAATTTGTTTGATGTTTGGTATCACAATAACTTGTGGAATCAATAGGACTTTAATTTGTTTGATGTTTGGTATCACAATAACTTGTCGAATCAGACATGCAAATATCATCTTATCATGGCTTATAATGTTGATTTGTAAGCATGTTTTTTTATGAGTGGTGTTAAAGTGCCTCAATTCACCATAAAAAATATAAAAAATATCATAAATACCCCTTGAATTTCTAATCCATCATCATTTTCTTATATTCGTTTAATCCTCGAGTGTTCTAAGTTATTATTTTTTTTGTGCAATGAAATATTTACTATAAGATATTAATCTTCCATATCAGATGATCTGCAGATTATTTAATTTTTTTTAGGAAATGAAATTATATTAAGCCAAACTGAACAATTCTTGAGGAGGTTCATGACCTTACATTTAAGCACTCATAATTTATTTATGGGTAAATTCCACTTTACCCCCTTGTACTTTGGCAGGATATCACTTTAATTACCCCCTTTTACTCTCAATTGTATCGATTTACCCCCTTTACTTTGGTTCGATATCACTTTACCCCCTTCTACTCTCAATTCATCGATTTGCCCCCTTGTACTTTGGCTTGATATCACTTTACTCCCTTCTACTCTCAATTGCATCGATTTGCCCCCTTTCTACTTGAAAAATTATCTCAATGTGGTCATCGTCGTTAGTTTTAGAACCTTTGACCTTAACACCGTTTTATCTACGTTTGAAAATTACAAAAAAGCCACCCCTCCTAGTTTAAATAATTATTAATAAAAAAATAATAAAAAGAAAATTGTGGCTGACGTTGTGGACTATGTTTTCTCGCTGTCATGAATTTTTTATTATTTTATTTTTGTTGTTTTTTATTTTTTATTTATTTTTATTTTTTTAATAATTATTTAAACTGGAGGGATGACATTTTAGTAATTTTCATACTAAAATCAAACGGTGTTAAGGTCAAATGTCTGAAAACTAACAATGAGGGCCACAATGAGATAATTTTTCAAGTAAGGGGACAAATCGATGCAATTGATAGTAGAAGGGTGTAAAGTGATATCGAGCCAAAGTACAATAGGGCAAATCGATACAATTGAGAGTAGAAGGGGGTAAAGTGATATCGAACCAAAGTACAAGGGGGGAAATCGATGCAATTAAGAGTACAAGGGGGTAAAGTGATATCCAACCAAAGTATAAGGGGGTAAAGTGAAATTTACCCTTTATTTATCCAAGAACATGAAATTCGTGCTCTTTTTGACCTTCAGGTGTGTTTTTCTCTGATGAAGGCATGCATTGTTCACTTAAGGTGGATAGGGTGAGATTTTGTGGTAAATATTCCAGTGAGAAATGGTGATTTTTTTTATAAATATTTTAATTAGTTTAGCGGTGGACGGTTTATGAATTTGTACATATATGTGAAATAAGAAGAAATGGATAAAATAGAAAATATATTTAATTTTGTGGTGAAATAAGATATTTTGAGGATGAAAATAGTACTTCTCATTTTTATTAGATCATTGAAAGATATTAACAAGTTTGAAGTAAAATATTTTACTAAACTTTAATTTCTTGTTCAATTCAGTATTTTTATTTATATTAATTTTGATAGTTTTTTGTTTGATTTTATTTCAAATAAGATGTTACAATGAAAAAAAAAAAAGAGATAGTTTTGATTTAATTTATAAAAAGTAATCGAAAATAAAAATTGTATAATCTCGCAATAAATCAAAAAGAAGTGGGAAAATATTTAATAGTTTCTGGAGCAAAATTTGAACCTCTACTTCGACAAAAATTTCAACAATTTACATTTCTTCAACGATCACTTTCGAAGACCAGTTTATAATAATAGATTGTCCAATGAAGAAAATGGCGTTAAGGAAATCGGCTTCAAAAATCACGATTTTAATTATATTTGCCTCATGCATGAATTGACAAACACAATAGAGAGGAAGCTAAGCAATACTAGTATGATATGAGTACATATGCAATTTACTTTGTACTAATTATTGGGGCAACAAATTAAATGTACTAGTACTATGTAGCCCTAGAAATTTGGGAATAGAAGACTTAGAGGCTGCTTGTCTAAACTTATAAGTTGTTAAAAAGAGCTTATAAGTTGTTTAAGAGCTTGAAAGCTCTCTTTCAAATTGTTTGATATTTTTTATAAAGAATCTTAAAAATTCAAAAAATAACTATTGAACAGCAAAATAAGATTTATTAAAAATTAATTCGAAAAATAAATATAACAGTTTATCATCTCTTAAAATAATTATTAAATGCAAGTGTTTATCGGCTCTTTAAAATGATAACTTAGCCAAACGGAACTTATAAGCACATTAGCTGTTGTGCTATCAAATTTTAGCATTTCCATTCGGACATGAAATTAGTCGACACGTGTTGAAATAGTGGGGCTGAATTTGATATGATACAAGTTAAGGGACAGAGGAGAATTGCAATAAAATACGGAGCAAGGCAATAACATTATTATAATATAATCCGTAAACTAAATTTAATTACACCTACACCTCTAAGGTATGCTAAAATAACTTTAATGTCTCTGTAGTAAAGATAATTACAATCACCCCCTAAAACATTATTAGAAACTTCAACGAAATAATGCATTGAATAAGTTGTTCCGTTAGGGTTCTAATAAACTATTAGTTTCAAGCAGCGGTGGAGACAACACAGAACTAAGGGGTGACATGGCTCTCATAATATTTTTTAAATTCTTATTATTTTATATAAGATTTATTAATTTTCGTCCATGTTAGCATTGGCCCCACAAGAAACAAATATAATGCACATCGATCTCCAAGACATGAAATCTTGGCTCCGATAATTGTTTCAGGGGTGTGGCTGTGATTACCAAATTCTACAGGAACTTTAAGATTATTTTAGGATATCTCAGAATGTAGGAGTAATTCACCCTAAATATAATCTTATTTTGGGTTGAATTCCCCACTGTTTTCCGGACATAATTGAACTTAATATAGTCAAATTACTACATAACACACCCAAAAGTATTTCAACCCTATATTATGTTTTCAATGTCCCAATTATTAGACTAGACTTTTGCAATTGTCGCTTTAGTTCAGTGGCGTATCTATGTGGGAGCTGGGGGCAGCCGCCCCTCCCAAAAAAAAAAAAAGTGATTTTTTAAATTATATTTTTGCCACAATATTATATAAATATGTGCTTTTGCCCCCCAAAATTTTCTTCTTCTTCATATTGTTATAAGAATTTATATTGTTTTCCTACTTGTTACTACAATACCAAATAATAATACAAACTTTTTATCATAAAAATATAAATATTTACTTATTTTAATATGTTTTTATCGATGTTTCTAAAGAAAAATGTATAAATATTTACTAGACTTTAGTAATCTTCAATTGATAACTGATTTGGAGCGTTCGTTGAGTTGAAGTTTTAACATTGTGTTTGAACTTGATTTATTAATTGCAGCCTGCAGGTGATTCGATAATATCAATCAAAGTTAGATTTACAGTCGATTAAAACATAATTAAAATATCTAAATTTACTCTCTCTATATATATATATATATATAAAATCAAAAATTTTATTCAAGAATCATGAATCATCACAATAATTGTCTCCCAACAAAAAATAAAATCATAAAAATTCAAATAAGAAAGCATGATAATAAAATAGTAATTAAATGATTAAAAAACAAATTTAAAGAGTAAAAAATAATCCAAGTAGCACGAGAGTTCCGTACAACCGGAACCCACCTCCATAAATCATCGAACTACCTCCAGTATCATTCCCGCTCTCTCTCGTCGGAGGTGGGGGCGGCGCGTTCACTCCACTGCCCGTCGGAGCTGGGGCCTCGTTACCAGTACTGCCGGTCGGCGGCGCCGCCGTACTTCCAAACCGCAAAGTGCCCGTCGAACTCAGATTCTCCGGGCCGAAAGCGTGCACCGCCGGGACACCATTCCTCACCGACGAACCCACCTGCCAGACCTGGTTCAACTCCACCACACCCGCCGGCAATTCCAGAGTAGCGAATATCGTCATAACCCCGCCGGAGAACTCCGCCCGCCTGCTCAGAACCTGGTACAAGATCGGCGACTCGGCGATGAAGTTGTAAGATGTGATATTGTACGTCTTCACCACGGCGGAGCCGTTGGCTTCTCTGAAGGCGACGAGAGCTTGAGCTCCGGCCATGACGGGGGCCGTCGGATTGAGTGCCCACCCAACCCAGCCGTCGGGACTCGCCGGAGGAGCGACGAAGGCTAGGGTTAGGGTTGGGTTGGGAGCGGCGGATGAGTCGTAGGTGTAGTGGAGGAAGGCACCCAGGGTGGGGAGATCAACACAGTTGGCGAAGGTGGTGTTGCTCTGACCGAATGTCTGAGATTTGCATGTTTGTGAAATCGCCGGAGATACTAGCAGAGATACGGCGGCGATGAGGAGGAGGAGGAGGAGAGAAGAAGAAGCCATGACTAATTTAATTATTTAATTAATGAGAATTTTACATAATATTTGATGGTGTTTATATAGAGAATTTGGAAAGATGCTATTCACACTTTTTTCCTAAAATATTATTTTATTACTTTATTTAGAGTAGAGCGTGGGCTAAGCGGGTATTTGACTTGGCTTATATTATTAATTATATTTCTTCTTATTAAATATGTGGTTTATAATTCTATTAGCTAAAAAAAAATACACAATCAATTCAATTTGTCATGATACCTTTTTTAAGTATTCTAATTTGTATAAAAAAATATTTACTTGTTCTTTTATATTATGGAAATAAGTTTTGATATTTCTTTTTGTAATATAGAGATATATGTTGGCAATACGAGTAATTTTGCATTATTTAAAATCGAAAGATTTTATTACGTATATACCATATTGACCGGACAATCAGTGGCGAAGCCATGATTTTTCACTGGAAGGGAAGAGCCGAATATAGATTATTTTTTTTAATGACAACAATCATTGTTTTAAAAATGATGAGTTTAGGATTTCTTTAGATGGTGAGTTTAAATTTTTGGGGTTCGGGGACAACGCTCTCGGAAAAAAAATTATAACTTTTTTTTTTAACAAAACTAGAAGATAGGAAAAGAAAAGAAAAGAAAAACTTGTAGGATTTTTTTTTTTTGGTATTAATTTGAATTTTTTGAGGAGTAAATAATAAAATTGGGTAGACTAAATAAATATATATGTATAATACAGTGGATTTTTTTTCAATGAGAGTGGGCTCGCATGTGGTTTCAAACCACAGTTCGTAACTTCATTATTCAACTTGTTAGACTCGTTTATTATTATTATTATTATTATTATTATTATTATTATTATTTTGTTTTCTTCAACTAAAAATAGTTAATTTTGTTTTTATATAAAATTAAATTGTTAAAAATAATAAGAGCACAGTACAAACCATTAATCATCAAATGATAACATTATGAATTTAATTACTTTGTACTTGGCAACAAATGTACTACAATGTTACATTGTACTTGGGGAAGCAAATGTATAGTGCTTGACTAAATAAAGTATGTAGCCCAAGAAAACTGGGCATACAAGACTTGTAAACGCCTTAACTATTTTGCTATTAAATTTCAGCTGCTAACTTTTATTGACCCTTTCCATTCAGACTATTAATTCCTCGACGTGTCGTGAAATAGGGTTTTGTAGATGCTGCATTCGATCAAATGCACAGAGTGATTTAAAACCACAGATATATACATAATATTACACACACCCATGTATATGTGTGGTTGGTGGATAGTTATTTATAAATCTACGATTTAAAATCACTCGATGTATTCCATTGGGTGTAGCTAGTTTTTTTTATATATATATATATATATATATATATATATATTTATTTATTTATTCATAATAAGGAGCTGAAATTTGATATGACCAAAGTTAATGGGATTGAGCATTTACTATGATTGGAAGAGGATAATTGACTTTCTTATCATCACATTCACACCCATGTGTTTTTTTTATAATTGCTAAAAAATGTCTTAATTTCACTATGCGCGCGCCCTTGAAATATACAATTTTGTCACTTTCCACCCTTGAAACAAATTAATAGTATTTTACACCTTCGAAACACAAATTATTGTGCATAATACAGCCCACGTGATCGTTTTCCTGTCTCCATTTTCATGGTTCCCCCTATCACCGTTTCCGTGTCCGTGCTACGTAGGGTGTCATTAATGCCATTTTCTTTTTGTAGTGTGAGTTTGTTATTCTAACTATCATGATTAGTTAGGCCTTTATAGAAAAAAAAAATATTTAATATAAATCATATGATATTCCAAAAGCATTCTTCTTTTAGGTATATTTCATATGGTTCAAAACCTTCTTTTTTAGTGAATTGGTTTGGTTGCAGACAATCAATAATTTAACAACTAATTTACAATCAATCAAACAACTATGGTTCAAATATTTTTTATTTATTTATTTTCGTCCAACCGACATATTTTCACGTGGAATGAAAGAGAATAAAGTGGTTGGACACTTTTTGTACAACCAATATTGTCATTTAGGACTTGATTCTAATATTCGCCGCCGGCCGGTGAACGGCGGCGCCGCTCGCTGAAAAGTAGAAACAATTTGATTTTCTTATTCACCGAAATAAATACACAAGAACCATGCACGAGTAATTTCTTTATCATGTTAAAACTGACTTCTAGAATGAATCTAACTAAATATTATACCAAGTCAAAAATTGACTGATGTAGGTGGATGTGGCTATAATCGATTATTAATAATCATCACAACCTATGGTGGTGTTTGCAAATAATTATTTAAAAACAGAAGTTAGTGATTGTGATTTAAGTTAGTTTTAAGTGCTTATTCTAAAAGTTGGGGGGTGTTTGCAAATATTTCGGAAAATGAACTAAAATTGAAAAAACAGGGTTAGGGGTGCTTTTAAAAAAATAGCTTAAAGCAGATTATTTTAAGAGAAGCAAAAGCAAAAGTTGATTTTGCAAACACCTAAAAACAGATTATGAGCAAAAAAAACTGCATAATCACTTTCAAAAAGTATTTGCAAACACCACCATAAATATTTTTGCCAACATAATTAGTCCATTTATGGGTGAAAGTTTTTTTTTTTTTTTAGCTGGTTCCTGTCCAAAGAAATTTGATTTTGGAATAACTTTTTTAATTTGGATCTTCGATATTTTCCGATTTTTTTTTTTATTGGAGTTGGAATTATGTAAAAAAAAAATTTGAAATTTTTGATATCCGGCCAATCGATTTAATTTCCAAAATTAATTCCGAAAATTCCATTTTTTTCCCAGAAAATTACACTAATTACATATATATATATATATATATATATATATATTTGGAATTTCCTTTGCAATTTCTCAGATAAGAAAAAGACCTCATTTAAATTCAAAACTTAATAATTTTGAATTTAAAACTAAGCTCAGTCCTTCCATTTATTCTCTTCCTCCCAATTTAAAAAAAAAAAATATTGTTTGTAAATCTAATCCATACGGGAATGCGATCTGATATTTGGAATTACACCCCGACAATGAAAAAAAAAATTGACAACATACAAGCGGGCTAGCATTAGAGATTTCAGACTTACTCAGAGAAAGTTTAGCGAATGCGCGAAGATGAGGAAGAGTTACCTGACGGTAAAACTAATGAAATAACTAGCAAGCGACGCACATCGAGGACACTGTGTAGATTACCATCCTCCATTTTATTGTCCCGTGTATTCTTCGAAGCTGGTGCACGGGCCTATGAATCCGCCTGCATACCCTAGGACGGTTACGGTTTTCAATCTAGGTGAACTTCAACCCGGCCGGTTAAGTTTTTTTTTCTTATTATCATTTATTTTTTTTTCATTTTTTTTTTTTAAATAGCCTAAAAAATTTCTCTCTTTTTTTTTTTACCAATTTATTCTCACAACTCTCATTTTATTTACAGAGTTTCAATTATTTTACCTTTTGTAAAAAAAACGGTTCGTACAAATTTCGTCTTCTACGCATTTTCACAAAATAAAACTTGCATTCGGAGAAATCCATGCAAAATAAAGTACTGTATAGCAAGGTTCTAAATATCGGTTATCGGGTCCGAGGCGGTTAGGGACCGCCACACGATAAATGGTGCGGCGGTGATTAATCGGAGATATATCGGAAATAAATCGGTTCTTAGATTTAGTGTAATATATTTCTAAATATTATTCGTTAATACTTAAAACGTGTAAAAAAAATTGAACTTGATTCTCTCCTCATCGTGTATATAATCTAATCAAATAACAAAAGTTTAACATTTATAACTTGATTCTCTCCTCATCGTTCTAAATGTTTTAATTTTTAGGCCAGGTTCTTCTTATGGGGTCGTTGAGTTTGGATTTGATTGGAAGAGATAATGGGGTGGAATTGAAAAAAAATAAAAATAAAGATAAACACCCTATTTTCCTTGTAATAAAAAATAAATAAAAAAAATTAGAAAAAAAATATTTTTCCGATATATCGCTCGAAGTTTGACCCGATATATCAGTTTGACCCGCCACAAACCGCCTCGGACCGTCTCACTGTAAAAAAAACCGATTTTCAAAACCGCTACACAAATATCGTAAAAGTTTATGCCCGCCACCGATATGGCGGCCGATATATCGGCCGCCACAACCGATATTTAGAACACTGCTGTATAGTAATTAATTACATTTATTCATCTATTATTTTCTAAATTCTTTATTGCGTTATGGATTATTTTTCCTTTATAAAAAATGCTAAAACTTTGAATTCAAAATTGATTATTGAACATTACAACGGTGTAATGTACAAGAGAAACATCCGATAGAAATTGATGTCGATTCCCCTCATGCATGCACAAACAACTTACGTCGATCTTTAAATATATCAATATTGAAGTAAGCATGTTTGAATTATTAGAAGACATCCGCACATCTCGTATGAATTAAATTTCGTTTCGGATGTGAATGATTTTTTTAATTATAAGTTAAAAAAATGATTGAATTCGATACTTTAAAATTCTGAAATTAAAATTAAGTTTCATTTATACTTCATTTGATTTCTTCATTAGAGTTGCTGATAATCACTAATGTATCAATATAATCAATTCAAATTATAAATATTTTTTAAGTAAATCACAAATCCACACAAATGAAATTTGAAACCAAGAAGACATCTTGATAACATTAAATAAAATGTTTTCCATCTATTCTTTCATGAAGATAAATTGTGAAATTAAATAGCAGGTCAAAATATTAAAAAAAAAAAAAAAAAAAAAAAAAAAAAGTCAAACCATCTAAAAACCCAAAACTACCCCCAGTAGCACCAATATTCCATACAGCCAGAATCCACTCACACAAATCATCGAACAACCACCATTATCATTCACGTTCCGCTTCGCCGGAGTTGGTGGAGGACCACCACCACCGCCGCTAGTACCTTCCGGCGGCGGGGCGTGTCCATTCTTCGCCGCCGTACTTTCCAGCAGCAAGGTTCCTTTCGAGCTCAAGTTCTCCGGCGACATGGCGTGCGCCACCGGCGCGCCATTCCTCACCGACGCGCCCACCTGCCAGACCTGATTCAACTTCGCACCTGTTCCCGGCGGCAGAACCAGCGTGGCGAATATCGTCACCGTCCCGCCGGAAAACTCGGCCCGCTTGCTCAGAACCTCGTACGATATCGGGGACTCGGTGATGGAGCTGCGCGAGGAGATGCTGTACGTCTTCACGACGGCGGAGGAGGAGCCGCCTTCGGTACTGTCTCTGAAGGCGAGGAGAGCTTGAGCTCCGACCATGCCGGTGCCGATGGGATTGAGGGCCCACGCAATCCAGCCGTTGGGACTCGCCGGAGTTGCGATGAAGGCGATGCTGAGGGTGGCGTTGGCCGATGAATTGATGTACGTCCAGTGGAGGAAGGCGTTCAGTGTGGGGAGATCCATGCAGCTGGAGAAGGTGGTGTTTTCACCAAATTTTTGAGATTTGCAGGTTTGCGAACTCGCCGGAGATATTAGAAGAGATACGGCGGCGGCGGCGGCGATGAGGAGGAGTAGAGAGGATGCCATGGCTTGTCGGAACCGGGATAAAATGATGAGCTTTTCCATATATATATATATATATATATATATATATATATATATATATATATATTTGGAATGTCAAATTAGGAGATAGACGATATTGGTTTCACAAACGGCATGAAAATGGAGGTCTCGACAACTTTATTTTGGTTATTATTATATTACAGTAGAACCTCGATAAATTAATAACCTCGTTTAAATAATAAATTTTTCCGATTTCGAATCGGGGACAACGTACTAAATTAATAATTCGCTAAATTTATAAGATAATACACATTCGAAAATTTTAAGAAGTCCCATATAATATATAAATTAATAATTCATAAAAATAATTCTTAAATTACATGGTACAATACATATTTTATAGATCTATAAAGGTTTACTAAAATATAATTTCATTGTCGTTTGTTTCTTGTTGAAGTTCACCTTACTATAAATCTTGTGCTTCACTTTTCTTAACATGGTTAGAACTTCTGGTATAGCTTTCGCATAACTCAACATGAAATTGTTTAATACCATTGCTGCTTTAAGAGCTTCCGTTCGTGAAACATGTCCTATAGTACATTGAACTAATGGTACAATGAATAATATACACGTAAAAAATTAAAAAAATGTAATTATTGAAAATAATAATAAAAATAATTTCATAAATTAATAAAATATTAATTAATGTATAAATTAATAATTATTAATTTATCGATAAGTTAATATTTCGCTAAATTAATGGAATTTCGATGGTCTCAATTGTATTAATTTATAAAGGTTTAATAATTTATTTCGGATATATAAATATTATAACTATGGTTGACCACTTCATTATTGAACAGAACTATAAATTGTACTTTGTACTTTGAGCATATATAAACATTGTACTACTACACGAATCTCAATAAATTTGGGTGTAGAAGAAACAGTGAACAATATTTGTTTATTCTTGAATGTGTGTTGTGAGTAGTGGTGTAAACCAGGTTTTTCGAGCTCGACCTTGAGTCAAATTTGGTGAGCTTGAACTCGAGCTTAAGCTCAGCTCATTTTATTTTATTTTTTAATTTTTTTTCTATTTTTTAAATAATATTAATTTTAGTTTTGATTATAAATTTTAAATGAAAAATGAAAAGTTATAGAATAAAACATAAACCTGTAATTTTTTTAAATATATAAATGAAATATTTTTGTTTGAATTAGTGGTTCGAACGATTTTGGTTCAATCTTTATTATTTTTATTTAAATTAATTAAGTCGAACCATGAACTGATCAAAAGCCACCGATTCGAACCCTAATCGGGGTTACCTTCTACTTTTCGAGTTTAGGGTCAATTATTTGAATTATATGCAAGTTTAATAATGACTAAACCATATTATAAGGTGGGATTTGGTTATCGGTGGAAATTATAATGATTTTTCCGAATTATGCCGATTCCAATCTGAAAATTGGCAATTATTGAACAATATTTTTCATTTCGAGTTCAGAAAATTTTGATTTTTCTGATTTTTTTTTCCGAATTTGAATTAGTGTATATATTATAAACCAATTTCCAATCCGATTTTAATTTCATAAAAAAAAAGTTCGTTTTTTTCCTGTCCAAAAGTTACTTGTAATTTACAACATCAATATTACTGGTTTAAAGTTTATTTTATAATAATATATGTGAATATAAAATGAAATTTCCGATCTTCCTCGATTCCGATCGGAAAATTTTCAATATTAAACCAACAAGACCTAAACTCTAGCTCGAGGGTTAATCTACACTATGCTACATGAGTGTGAACTTCTTAACTGAGTATTTGACACGACAAATAGGGCAACCATGAGTACCGGCGCCAAAACCGAGCCATTTGTCGATGCAATCTACGTGGAACTTATGCCCACACAGCATGAAAATAGAATCATCCGAATATCGGACGAACGAAAAACCTTTCAAATTACATTCATCGAATAATTTGTCGTCGTCAGAGGACGAGCATAAATCTTCAGATCCATCGGAGAAATCCTCCAGACAAATACTGCACGCGTCGGAATCTACACCACAAAGCGTGTACTTCTCGAACATCTTGTCGTCTTTGTCAAAAAGAAATACCCACCGACGGTCGAACTTGAAACTCACGGACGCGCACAAATATATTACAACAGCGTTGTGGTCTTCGGGCATGGATTTAATAATAGCCTCTAACGGCATACACACGGCTCTCATCATCATCTCTCGGCGCACGCTCGGAGTTATAAACTCCAACTCCTCGAGTTTTTGGCGGATGACTCTACGCACTTCTTCTGCGTCCGAAAATCCATCGGCATCGAAGGTGACCGAGTTCTTCTCATGGGGCAACCACGCGCGCGTCACAATTCGCGGTATACGAGAATCGTGGTTCAGAAACTGAAAGGAGATGTCTGAGACGTAGCCGAAGACGAACTTTATTAAGAAGTGCTCGTCGAAGCGGGTCTTAAAACGTGCGGTGATTTTGCGAAGATCGACCACCACTTGGTCACCGTAATTTTTCGTAACACAGCGATAAAATTCTTCCATAGCACAACTATTTACACAACTTGTACAAGTATTTATACAACGTGTCGAATAGGATATATACTTAACGAATCGATGAAGATTCTTTTATGGAAAAATAAATCGGCCGTGTAAAACTTATTAATGAAAAGAACTCCTTTTCTTTGGGATTATAAAGTTGGTATTAATTGTATCTACTTACAAAGTTATTAGAAATTGCCCCACTTTCACAAGTCTTTCTTTGTTTTTAGTAATCCATAGGGAACTTTAAATTGGATTCGAATTGTAAAATAATTATTTAATTTGGAGAAGAGTTATTAATGAACATTGGTGGAAATATCGAAAGAAATTATTGAAAGAATAAGGGTTTTCTACCAACTTAAATTGTATTTGAGTACGAAACGAACTTTATCTCAAGTGAAACGGCGCAATGAACAAAACTCATGAGCAAGCTCATGAATCAGGTCAAATTTCAGCAATCCAACGTCGTTTAGACTCCTAAAAATTCGTTTTTGTTATTTTAGGCAAGTTTTAGAAAATTAATATCAAACCAACGTCGTTTAGACTCCTAAAAATTCGTTTTTGTTATTTTAGGCAAGTTTTAGAAAATTAATATCAAATCATAGAAAAATAGGATTAGGATTCCGTAAATTGGGTTGTTCCCAAACTCACGAGATCTAGCTACTAGAATCAGACTCTAACTCGTTTTTTGCCATTGGTATTTTTTATTGTTTCCCTAGATTAATTAGGGTTTTCAGTTTTATTAGTATTAATAACTTCCTTAGGACTTTATTTTGACAAGAATTTCAAATTGTAATAAAATATTTAGAGTTTTCTCAATTTTTCTGGTGGATTCCAGAGTTTTCGGTGGATTCCGAATGTTATTTTATTCTATAGGTTGTAATTAATTATTTACCGTGCTTCCGTTCTGCGTCAAGTAAACCCTATTACTTCAAACTTTTATTTAACATTAATTCAATAATTAACTTTTACTTTTTTTTAACCTCTTTCAAATCAACTACAAATCAACTAACTTGATTACATGGTTGATTATTCCCGACGGTGTCGGCGAGTCGCCTCACTTCCGATCAACTAACTTGGTTAGCTAAGTTAAGCGAATTTTCAACTGTACATAGTTCTGATTAGACTTCTAATTAGTTGATTTTCGACCGATTGACTTAATTTAGTTGTCTAATTTTTCCGGCATGGGGGAGTGACCGGCGACCGATCACTGGAGCTCTGATCGTCTGACTTCATTCAGTTGATTGGAAGTTGAAAGTCGAGTGATTGGAGCTCTCACGACTTCTGAACGAAGTTCAATTTGAACGATTTAAGTTTGATTAGAAAGTAAATGTTTAATTTTGATAAAATTGAAATGACATTTGGGACAGACATCACAATAGTTAATTGTTTGTGTTTTTCAATAATACCGAAAATAGCCCATGACAGTTTGTGGACGGTTTGTGGATAACGCAGATTTTTCCCAGTAATATATACAGCAAAATCAAATGCCCATTCACACCGAACAAAAACAAAAAAAGAAATTCAAAATATTATCTGAATTAATAATAATAATAAAAAAACCGTGCAACTACAGACTCCCAATCAATACCCTCTCCTCTTCTTCGTCTTCGTCAGAAGCTCAGAAATCCATGGCGAACACTCTGTATTAGCCGGCGAACCACGCGATACTCGGTGCGCGTGTGTGTGTATTTCGGTCGCCGCCGGAAAAAAAATGGAGGAGTCGGCACGACGTCGTCTGGCTCTCCTTTCGTCCCACGTTAACCCACCACCGCCGGAAACCTCGCTTCCCACGCGCCTTGTTTCCTCTTCCCCTTGCGCCTCTGATTCCAATGCCGAGACGAACAAGGAACACGGTGATTGTGTGTTTTGCAAGATTATTCGTGGTGATTCTCCTGCGTTGAAGGTCAATTTGTTTAATTTGCCCCTCTCTCTCTCTCTGTAATTTACTTTTCTGTAATTTCCCTTTGTGTTTGAAATTACTGATAACTCCCTGTTCAATTGCTTTATTTCTCTATCATTTGGGGTTTTTTTTTCTTCTTCTTTTGGAGCAAGTAGATATATTATTGTAGAAAGTAATTAAAAAAAAAATGCAAGTCACTCATCTGATAATCTGATTCAATATGTATAACAAGAATGCTAGGGCTTTCGTTTAATTTTCCGTAATTTCGTTCCCGAAAATAGTCTCGAGCTGTGAATCCAGCCAATCAAGTAGATGTTAGAACAGACGATACTTTTTAAAGCACTTCAATCGCCGGTGTTTTATGACAAAACGACAACAGAAGCAACTCCGTTCACTGTTCATTTCAATGTTTATAGTTTTTTTACGTTTTACGACATTTGTAGGAATTAAGTCTGATTAAATTAAATGTGAGATTTGGTTTGACAACAGTTATACGAAGATGACGAATGCCTCTGCGTTCTGGATACGTATCCTTTGTGTTGTGGGTAAGGTATCATCTCTTAAAACACCTTATTAATTTTATTTTTTCTGGTCTTGATTTCATCGTACGCAACCATTGGAATTTCGTCAATTGTGCTCCCGTTTAAATGGAAGAACACTTTCAAGATTTCTAACTGCATAAATATCTTCGATTTCTTCTAGGCACTCTCTTATTATCCCGAAGTGTCATTTCCCTTCACTGGACGCAACTCCTCCATCAGTAAGTTGTTGTTTTGCTAAACCACAGTAAATTATTCTATCATCGTCTCTAGTTTCCGTGCCCCGTACGTAAAATCAATTACTATATTTTGCTTATTTACGAAAGTAGGCATCATACACAAATATGTTTTTATTTTTTTATTTGTTATTGATTTTGCCAATACGAAGTTGTTCTATGTTATGGAAGCCAAAAACGCAAAGTCGTTCAAGACCTGATGTGGATTATAAGGCTAAGTAGCACTAATTATAGAGATTTACAACTTATATTGTGCAAGCCCAAATTGCAACCTTCTTTTGATTCGATAACGATTGGTGCGTATTTTCAGGCATTTTAATACGACAGTTTGAAAATGCTCTGAATAATACCCAAAGATTATCTTTCCACGTTTGAGTAGTTTCGTGACTATAAAACTGAGACAACTGATTTTTTTTTTTTTACTAAGATCGATCGATCAATCAAACCTTATTTTCATTCTCGCCTAGCTGTGTTTTTGTCTAGTCACCGACTCACTGTTACTTCTTTTGTGGAATAACTCCATGAATGTTGGGCATTGACACACACACACACACACACACACACACACACACACAGATTGGTGCCGTTTATCTTTTAACATGAAGTATTGTGATATGCAGATTATCGGGGCCATGTGTTCAAAAGTGCCTTTAATTAGCAACGCCGTTATGAAAGCTACTGGTTGCGGTACGTTTGTGCTTTAGAAACAACAATACGCATATCTTTAAAACTACATAATGAATTTTCCAACACTCGGAAAAAAATAATTATAAATAAATTAACAATGCAGATTCATTCAACATGCTAGTCAACAATGGTGCAGCTGCGGGCCAAGTGATATATCACGTAAGTGATCTACTTACATTTCAAGACCTTCGTTAAAAAAGTTCGTTGCGCAATTTTTTTCATGTCGCAGTTTTATTCAGATTTGAGACCACTGATACTTGTAATGATTTTTATTCTGCATGGCGATTTCAGACACACATTCACATAATCCCTCGTAAAGCACACGACTGCTTGTGGCGGTCCGAGGTAATATTACTCCCCCCCCCCCCCCCCCCGGTATCTTTCTTTTTTCCCTTCGGTTTTCTACTAAAAAACAAAGGGCAAATTACGGCCACCCCCTGAGGTATGGCCAAATTACGAAAGTACCCCTCTTGTTTGGGTAATTACAGCCACCCCTCTTTTTAAATATTTTTACATAAAATTTATGTAATTCGGTTATTTACTGAACCAAATCATATATTTAGTTCAGGAAACGTTTTGAAATGTTGCCATACCGAAATTTCGGTTCGGTTTTACCGAATTAACATCCCTAAATTTACCTTTGGAGGGGTCTTTTCGTAAGATAATACAAAGTTGAGGGGTGGTTGTAATTACCCAAACAGGAGGGGGGTTTTCGTAATTTAACCATAACTCAGGGGTGGCCGTAATTTGCCCAAAAAATAAAAATGTGAGAGGCAAATCAAGAAAGAATATTTATTAGTCACATATTCCTGATTAAAATTAAATATATTTTTTGCAGTCTATACGAAGGCGCCCGTTGAAATTAAATCAAGAAGCTTCACAACTTGCAGATCAAATTCGTGAGAGTCTAAATTGTGCGAACAACTATGAAGATAGTAGTAAAGCTCAAGCATTATCCACTCTTATTGGAAACTAGAAAAAAAGGCGATCGATTGTTGTTACCGTGTGTAAGGTGTGTACATTTTTTTTTATCATATTTTACTCGAAAATTTTCCGGGTTCCAACTCTTTTGAGCTACTTCGATAGAGAACTTCGAAAAAGAAAAACGAGTTGAATTAATGATGATGTGGAGTACTGTACTTTTAATGATAGTTGGTTATTACAACATTCTTTCTTGTTACTATTAAGAAATTTATACAGCCCTTCCCCTTTATGTTTCACGTTTTCGACAATCGATCGCTTCGTTAGTCACGTTTTCTTAACTGCCTTGGCTTCGGTGTGTCGTATTTTTGTTGACTAAAAAACCCCTTTGGAGCATTTGCAATTCTTAAAACCTAATAAGATTAATATTTTGGGGGTTTGGGGACAGGGTTCTGAATTGTTTTTAGTGTTCAACAAAAACAAATGCTAATATAAGTACATGTTTAAAAACAAATGCTAAAATAAGTACATGTTTAAAACATAATCAAAATAATATATATTTCATTAGTGATATTTGGTATTTAATTGCTTGAGAAAAATATTATTTAATTTTGACCTAAATAATAGTCAACATAAACTTGCAACATCCTAATAAACCATGGGAAACCAAAACTTAATAGAGATAATGGTAAAAAGATTTGGTAGGCCAAGCCCCAACCCTAAAAAGTCTATTAACATATGAGGTATTATATATTAGGGAGGAATTTACTAAAAGTTTTTCACATATAATTTCATTAATAAAGATAAAATGTTCATTTGCGGTTTTGGTAAAAGTTTCCCGCTTATCCATTTTACGACAATACTCTCGTATTTTTATTAGGTAAAACCGTGGATGTGTCGTGTGAAGAATGCACGATGCGCTCCTAGGAAACTGAAGTTTACTATCGAATTAAAGTTAAAATTTTGGGTGTTGATTTTTGGTCAATTTTCACCAGATTAAAGGAGTTCAATGTGATTCTCAGCCAATTTTCATAAGTTTATTGTCTAATCTTCAGGTGGTGTTTGCAAATGTTTTTTCAAAGTAATTATGAGTTTTTTAATATTTAAAAAAAAACTGATTTAAACAAAAGAAAAAGTTCATAATCACTTTGAAAAAATTCTTGCAAACACCACCTTAGTCAATTTTAAACTAATTTTCTCATGTTCACTGTCATACTAAATAAAAAATACGCATTTTTCAAAAGTCCAATGCCAATTTTCAATCATTTTCAAAAGTTCACTATTAATTTTTAAACGGTGTCAAGCGTTACCAATTTTCAGAAGTTTAATATCAAATCTTTAACAAATTTCACAAGTTCGTCCTCAGTTTTCAACTAATTTTCACAAGTTTACTTCCACATTATTTAAAAAATAGTAATCTTCAAAAGTTCACTACCAATTTTCACAAGGCCACTTCCATATTATGTTAAAGATACTCGATTTCAAATATATATATATATATATATATATATATATATAGAGGGCTGGGAATGGGTTGGTTTTTATCCACCAACCGATCCATTACCGACCATATTTTAAGACGGATAATCAATTTTTAACCGGCCCATTGGATCGGGTAAAAAATTTCAACCAACCCATCTATAATGGATCGGTTGGTGGTTTCTAATATTATCAAAAATTGGTTGACCGATAATTATCGGTTATCCAACTATACTATTAAAATTTTATTAAAAATATAAAATAAAGCCGTGTTTTCTTAAGTGGTTATTGAAATTATCAAAATAATTAGTATTTTAAATTTTAAAACAATCCAACAAAGGAAAAATTTTTTGACTTAAATCTTCAACGAGTTTCTTTATGCCCAACCTTAAATAAAAAGCCGCAAAACTCCACTAAATCTCTTGTGCATGTTTGAAATTACTTTGAATTTCCTAATTATATTTTTTGTTACGCAAAATGTGGATATTTTTACTCCAAAATTTGAATTTTTTTTAAGTGACCTAGGTAGTGGGTATAAACCATCAACCGACCCATTCCGGAACCAAATATTCGGTTGTCAACCATCAACCGACCCATAAACGTTGGGTCGGCAACGGTTTTCAAATTTGAGCAAAAATGGTTTGACGGATGGGTCGGTTTTTAGGCTGGTAATCGACCGACCCAACCCACTCCCAGCCCTTAATATATCGTCTTTATTTATACTTTTGAAATAATACACAAAACAAAAGTGGATTAAAAAAATAAAAATATCAATTGGGCGGAATACAAAATACGGAAAAAGTAAGATTACGAAAATACCATTAGAGTTATTATAGATTCCCTAAAGTTAACTCCTATTGGTAAATAAGATTAGGCTAATAGGCTTCATGATTACTCTTTCTTCTTTTTTTGCCAAAAGAGTTAATAAAATATTTGAAGGACAAATTCTCAACCAACGAGTTATAAATTTATAAATTGAATACATGATTCTACGGTTCAGATTACTTAATACCAAATCCAAACTCTACTAATAAAAAAAAATTGATGTAACAATTAATATTGTAATCTAAATAGACGACCTAAATTAAATTGAATTTAATTAAAACGACTTCAATTTTTCTTGTGCAGCCTGGCAATAGTGAAATACGGGAAAAAAATTCTAAATCCAGGCATATTTCTTTCCCCCTTCTTCTTCTTTTCTTCTCAACGGCGTCGTATTTTACCTCATCGCCTCCGGCCCTCCGCTTTCTACAATCGCCGCCGCCGCCGTCGTCGAACCTCAGTTTCCTTTTCTGAATTACAGTTTTCGTAACGGTCATTCGTATATACGTGTATACATATACATATATATATATATATGTTCAGTTGTTTTGATAGATTAAAGAGATACATAGAGCTATAATAATTGGGGGAGGGTTGAAGAATAAAATGTCGCCAACGACGGCGGCGAAACAGGCGGAGCTACTCAGACAAGACGGCAACTTGTACTTCAAAAAAGATCGATTCGCCGCTGCTATTGATGCATATACGGAGGTAAGTTTGCCGTTGTGTATTTTTGTTTTTTGGCTATTAATTTTGAAATTATTTACTTAAAATGATTTGATTTTATTTTAGGCTATTGTTCTGTGCCCTAATGTTCCGGTATATTGGACAAACCGCGCTCTTTGCCATCGAAAACGGAAGTACGTACGATCAGTGAATTCGCTATGAAGTCCTTGATTGTTATTTCATTGTTGGAAATGTTCTTGATTATTTAATTTAATTTCTTAGTTGCAACTCGGAAGTATCTTTTCTTTATTTGGATTTTATATGCTTTTGATGTATAGTGAATGGACAAGAGTAGAGGAGGATTGCAGGAGAGCGATAGAGCTTGATCATCGTTCTGTAAAGGTTTGCCCTATTAAATCACTATATTGTACATTTTGATGATTCTTATTCATTTTCAACTTAATTTTACTTGTTTGTTTCTTTTTTAGTTTTCGTTTCGTGTTTGTGTCCTATGATACCTCTTTTAAGTGTTGCAATCCCGTTGAACTATTTAAACCGATGGACCTTCGGTATAATATTAGTAGAATAACATTGAAAGAGCAACAAATTTCACGAGAAGTAATATTTTATTTAATTCGTGCGTTAATTATCTATGAGGTGCTACTGGGAGTTAGTGTGCAGTATCGTTTTCTTTTTCCTTTACGCATGAAATCGACAGGCTCATTTTAGTCCAAGTTGGGATTCAATTTGTAGTTGGTTGGACTGTTAAATGACTTCTTGATTTATAGGTTCTTGTGTACTGTAATTGAACATTTATTCTGTCTTGATGTTTTCAACGTTTCGGCTCAAACCATGTTTGGAAACATGATGTTCGTATTTACATAATCGAAGCTACTATTTAAATCCAATATAGCATGGTCTCCTGTTTTATTTACTTGTGATGTGAATTGTGGAAACATGCTTAACATTCTAGATGAATGTCTTTGTCATTATAACTAAACTAACATTTTGATTCCAAACTCTTTATTGGGTTACAGCAGCTAACACCCATGCTTCCAAACTCTCTATTGGCTTGCAAAGAGCTCGTTCAAACTAATGTTGTTGTCTTTCATCACTTCTAACTCTTTGTCCCCGCTTGTGTCCGACTTTCTTCAAGGGATGCCACTCTGGTTGGGTGAGAATGTAGAGGATTTTTTTTTAATTTGTTTTTTCAATTGAACCCAACCAAAGTTCTTCAGGATCAGATGGGGCCAGCTGTAACTGAGTCCGATCAAGCAGGTTAATGTACTTATCTGAATCATGCGCGCTTAACAATCTTATACCAAACGTCTTTGAGGGACTTGTAGCAGAAATTAGAAAACAATTCCAATAACGATGACCCTGACTTTAGTAGTTAAGATGGACTCATGTAAAATCTAGTATCCTTTTCTTATCAAGCTGAACATCGCATTTTGCACGTTTGAGCCTAAACTTTCAAGGTAATGAAGTGGTACTAGTGTTAGCTCATACAATTTACTCATCCAGTCTTGCTGTTATCGCACAATATGGATTATGCGGGATTAGGCATTTCCTAATCTTTTGTTTGATAGACATGATTCTTAGGGTGGATAGGACATCAGTAAGTTGCTAGGTTATCAAGCTTCAGTTTTGGGATAGATTTATTGACTTCTAAATGAAAATTATGAATGATGCCGCGTGGTAGTTATAAGGTGAAGCCTAGTTCTGTATATAAATGATATTTCTTTGGGTTCATATTTTCCCTCTCCGGTCAAATCCTTGCTAGTTCTTCCGCAAGCTTGCATGTTCGATTATTCTGAATGAGTTACATAACTGCCGTCTGTAATGGTATTCGTCATACTTTATGTTTGACTATATTGCAGTGAATGAATTGAGTCATTTACTGTGAATTTTGTGTATCACAGTAATCAGATTTTTTATTTTAATTTTGAAAAGGCTGAAGCAATGCTTACTAACACAGAACGTTTGTTGCATTATTACAGGCCCACTACATGCTTGGTCTCGCACTGCTACAGAAGAGAGAATTTGCAGAAGGTGTCAAGGAACTGGAAAAAGTATGACCTCTTTTAATCTTCCACAACAGTTGTTACATACGTGAAAACTCTCGTTGCCTATACATATGGATGAACTTACATGCACTCGCAGTATCACTGCCTTAACATAGCATCACTTGGTAGTTGGTATTAGGCTCACTTGCATTTGGAAGTATGTGAATATATTTTTAAGTATTTCCATTGGTCCTTTTTATGAGGTTTCATTACATTGTCTCTAAATGAATGTTGCTTCTTGTGAACTACATTTTGATTACATGTACATTTCATTGGTAGTGATCTTAATCTGTGCATGTTCATGCATCACTAGATCGAGATATCTGCCATTTGTTGAAAATTATCTTGTTTGTTGTTCATTGTATATGATGTAATACCATAGGCATTGGACCTTGGAAGAGGTGCAAACCCCAAGGGCTACATGGTAGAGGAGATATGGCAAGAGCTTGCAAGAGCAAAATACTTATTATGGGACAACGAATCTACCAGACGTTCTTGGGAACTTCAAAACTTAAAGTAAGTTGTCTTTTTTGCATTTTTCATTTTTTAGGTAAATTACGGCCACCCCCAAGGTAAGATCAAATTATGAAAACCCCCCTCATGTTTGGGTAAATACAACCACCCTCCTCAACTATGAATCTTCTTACACGTCCAACCTTGCGGTGTCGAATTTAGTGTAATCTTCTAGATTATGTGGAATATTCTCCATGGAAAGTAGAAGATTCTGTTGAATTTGACACCTGTGTAAAAAGACTCATGGTTGAGGGGGTTATTGTAATTACCCAAACATGAGGTTTTTTTTCGTAATTTGACCTTACCTCAGGGGTGGCCGTAATTTACCCTTTTTTAAAATTCACATTCCTTACATACTTTAAAGCATATTGTTATTCCTTACAAACCTGTTGATTTCTTAATGGTTCCAACGTAAATATCACAGAGAAGCCTGTGAAGCAGCTCTGAAAGAGAAATATTTCCTTGATGCTCCTCAAACCGAAGGTTACGTAGATGAAAACACCGAGTCTAATCTAGATCAACTCGAAGCTTTAGAACGAGTATTCAGCAAAGCCGCTGAAGATGATAATCCAACTGAGGTGAGCAATCAATATCCGCATATGTATATTTACATGGTTCCTTTGTTCCGGGTTTTTTCTGAAACTGAGTCAAGGGTTTTTTACAGGTGCCAGATTTTTTATGCTGTAAAATCACTTTAGACATCTTTCGTGACCCTGTAATTACTCCAAGCGGTGTTACATATGAAAGAGCTGTAATCCTCGACCATCTAGACAAGGTAAAGTAAATACTCTTCTCAGTTGATAAAGATTCGTGAATTTTAGATGATTTTACCTTAAATTTTGCTACATATTATTAGGTGGGTAAATTTGATCCAATTACCCGTGAGCCACTGTACCCAACTCAGCTGGTATCGAATTTGGCTCTAAAAGAGGCTGTGAAAACATATCTCGATGCACATGGCTGGGCCTATAAGATGGATTGATGTAGGTTGTTTGTTTATGGCTAGAACATCCTTAGGTTCGTTGCATATTCTGCTCGATGCATACATAATTCGACGATCACAAAAAAAGTGTAGCTAAACGCTATTGTAACGAATTGGAGTGTCACATATTTTGCCTTTTGAAATGTATACATAGAGTGTTTACAAACCAACTTGTACAGTATTGTGGCAGAACTGTAAAGATGAAAATCTTTTGGATACTTGTTCTTGTGCTTTTTCGGTTTTTTTTTTTTCCATTTTTTTTTCTGTGTTGTGATACTGGTGCCGTTACTCTGTGACTGGTGTTCCCATCTAAACTTGAATTGCCAGTGTTTGAACTGTGAAGTGTCCCAAAAACCCGGTTTTATTTTCGGTTGTATAGGAGAAATGTACTTTTGCGATTGGTTTATTTCAACTTTTGAAGTGTCATATGTGGTTTTAGGGATTGGTTTGAATTGTGAAGGCTCGCAAAGATCTGTTATATAGATCTGAACATCTATTTTAAACAAATTGTTGAAGATGACCGGAGAAAATTGTGTACGCTTTGCATCAAGAAACTCGGGTAGTAATGTCATTATCTGCCTTACTCTTCCACAGCATGTTTAAACGAATGATACTAATGCCAAAGTAGTACTCCCTTCCGATTAAATTATGTGTCGCTAAGGTTTTAATGAATATGTATCTCGTAAGGTTTCCATTGAATCTCAAAGAAGTGAGTTACGAAAAACCCCTGAACTTATTAAAAACACCCCTACTTATCCATAGTTATCAAAATTTCCCCGACGTTTGTTTTTGTCTTACACCAACTCCCTTACAGTGTGATTTTTCACGGAATTTTTTTTAATCCAGAGAATAATCCTCAAAAATACCGATTCTACCCCTATAAACGTAGAACATGTTGAGGTAGCCATGAACAAATGTTTAAAAAATGCCTATGTATGTTGTGATGGTTCATACTAGCAATCCAGAAAGTGTAGTGAAATATGATCTTTTTCTAGTAATAAAAAATATGCCGTGAAAAATCACACCATAAGGGATCGGTCTAAGAAGAAAACAAACGTCAGGGGTTCTGGTAATTACGAATAGGTGGGGATAGTAATTTAACCTAAGTTCAGGAAGGTTTTCGTAATTTACCCAAAATACAATGACTTAGATATTACCCTCTCTGTTAATTATTTACATTGTTTGTAAGAATCAAAATGGCAGTAGAAACAAAAAGAAATAACAGAGCAAATGTGGTATTATATATATTCACATCTTTATCTAAGTTTGGTACATTTGACAGCAGAGAAAGAGTGTTGTGTGATTGGCAGAGAGGATGTGTGTTTGTAGAGAAGAGATAAAAAAGAAAGATAAGAGATATTTGAATCCCAATAATTTTGGATGTACCACAAAACCTGACAGCAATTACACATACATTTTTTTCTTCCCAATGCATCTCTATCTCCTCATTCATTCATTCAATTATCACTTATCAATCACAATGCCAGCAGTTTTTGGCTCCACCCCTTCACAAATCTCAGCCTTACCCTAATAATTGGAGATACATTATTTCTAAGTTTGAATTTATTTTTGGTTTTAGAAGTTTAGGTATTTTGTGAAAATTGTTTGAGGAAAAAAAAAAAAGTAATATTTATTTGTGTTTTGAATTTGTGGATTGAGCTGTAACTGTGAAAAGTAGTCAAATTATGTATGAAAGTATTAGAGAAAATGAAGAAGAATTTGAAATAAAGGTAAATTACGGCCACACCCTTGAGGTAAAGTTAAATTATGAAAAAATCTCTAATGTTTGGGTAGTTACAACAACCTCCTCAACTATGAATCTTCTTACACGTCCACCCTTATGGTGTCAAATTTAGCATAATCTTCTAGATTCCGTGGAAAGTTCTCTAATTCATAATCAACTATGAATTATGTCTGAAAGTATTAGCGAAAATGAAGAATAATTTGAGATAAGGTAAATTACGGCCACATCTTTAACTATGAATCTTCTGACACGTTCACCCTTATAGTGTCAAATTTAACATAATTTTCTTGATTCCGAGATCTATCTTCCTATACATAATTCTCTAGTCATAGATGTATTGTTGCGAATGCGGAAGGTTCACTAGTTTGTACTTATTTTGTGCAAAAATGCAGTTTCTGATGCACCACAATCTGATATTTATAAACCAAAAGACACATCTTATGATTATCTTGTTTCAAAATGTAGAGCTCAAATGCGGTAAAACGCACACAAACGAGAGAATACGCAATGATGGACATGTAAGAAGATTCATAATTGAAGGGTGATTGTAATTACCCAAACATGAAATTTTCTTTTTTTGTAATTTGACATTACCTTTTTTTTTTTTTAAATTTGACATTACCTCATGGAGGTGGCCGTAATTTAACCTCGGAATAAAGTAGTTTTGTTTGTATTTTTTGTATAGACATTTTTCACTGTAATAGTCAAATATGAGACGGGAAAAATGAAATGAAATGATTCCCAAACATAGCATAAGATTTGCATTATCAAGAACACACTTGCACACAAAGAAAGAAGGAAAGAAACAACCCTGCGCCTAACTATTCACTAGAAACATATAACTATAAGCCATAATATACACAAGGAAGATTGAGAAGAAGGAAAAAGCTAGAATTGACAGAGTATTATGCACGATTATGCAGTGTGTGTAAGATAATTAGCCCGATTCATTCTCTCGAGAACACCACTGGCTTTTCTCTTAGCCCTCGAACTGCCATTTTCAACAAGCTGAGATATCGTACAATACTTACTTTCCTCTTCTTTCATCTCCTTCCACTTCGACCGATCACTAAAACAAATCGCGTGCAAAATAGCAATGCAGTTCTCCTTATTCCGAGCACAAGAGCTCTCCCTAATAATACTAAGCAAGCAAGGAACAGCACCGAGCTCTACCATTTCCTCAATCGCCCTTTGGCTCGACGAAAGCATAGCAACAATCGAGAGCAATTCATCGACATGCGTTCGGTTCAAAATCTTCTTCATTATCACTCGAACGCCCCCGTCACTAACAACCCTCGCCTTATTCTCGTGAAGTATGCAAAGATTGAAAATGGCTGAAGCCACGTCTTTCATCACCAAAGGATGCCCTTCGTCCAATAGGTCGATCAAGGGCTTCAACGCACCGAATCTTCCGATTATAGCCTTGTTCGAGTCGAGGGCCGATAGTGTGAAAAGTGCCGCAGCTGCATTGCTCTTCGTTTCGATTGTTCCGGATCTCAACGCCTCCATGAGAAGAGGCAAAACATTCGGTGTTTCCAGTACGAGCTTCTTGTTATTTTCGTGTATGGAAATATTCAAAAGCGTTGTAATTAGATCTTCTTGGAGGTCACTCTCGAGTTTGGCTTGGGAGAGTGGAGATAGCAACTTAGGTATTGCGTCAAGAGATTCTTCTCCAAAAAGGGCCCGAAATGAAGGGAGTCTTTTTGTCAATAAGCGTAATTCTTTTGCGGATTCTTTTTGGTGGGGCAACGTTGAAGACATTTTCTTGAGCAAAGAAACGAAGTGGTCTTTATCGGCTTTTGTTAGACCTTCTTCGTCGGTGCGGTTAACAGAGTCCGGTAATTTGACTCCGTGATTCTTGCACCATTGTGCTATCATTGTTCGAATCAAGTGATTGGGGGTGAGGATTGTGTGGGAGAGAACTTGTTGCGTACGAGGGCACGTCTTGTTTCCGGCTTGTAACCATTTTCGAATGAATGGCTTATCGAAAGTCTGCAAAAATTAAATCCGTAGAACGATATTAACAAATACGCCGGTAACCGCAAACAACAAATAATCGAAACGAATAAATTTTGGTCAAGCATTTTTCATTACCCAAAGGTTAGAAATTTTGTATATAAATATACATGACATATATACATCTTTGATTGTGTATTCCAGATCCATACATACAAATTTGATTGTGTATACATAACACACACACACACACACACACACACACATATATATATATATATATATATATATATATATATTATTTTTTTTGACTGTGTGTATACTGTATAGCACAGTTCATCATAAATTCATCTAACAATCACAAATTCAATTAATTATTATTAACAAAAAATTGAAAAAACACACAAAAATCAAAATAACATAGAAAATTACCTGTCCGGAGGCAATAATGACAGGATCTCTCATGAGTTCCTTCGAGAGAGGGCACTTAAACTCCTCCGGCACCGCGCCAGAAACAATTTCATGGCCGGAATTATGATTACTGCTACGAACCTTCAGAGAAACAGATTTCTTCAATTTCAATTCCTTCAAATTACAGAGCACATACTGCGCCCTATCGATCTCGTCCAGATTAATATCATCCAAATCAACAATTTCCGCCACTAATTTCTGCAATTCCTTCTTCAATTCCGATGCTTTAGCCGCCGCCGCCGCCATGGTTGAATCCCCTTCGAGCACGCCGCTCTTCGCCATCGCTTTCGTCTTCCTCTCTCTATCTATTTACAATCAGTAAGTAGTACTTACAGGGTAGGTTTTGTGTTTCTCTCTCTCCTGATTCATATTTGTTTTGGGAATTTGAAGTTATTGTTGGGAGTTTCTCTCACTAACACAGTGAGGTTAATGGCAATAAGAATGAGACGGGACTCCACCCGGGTATTTCGGGTCACGCGTTCTGAACACGTGGCCACACAGCTGGCAGATTACGCGGAACTGGCTTTTCTTCATCATGCTGCTTCGTCACCCTATTATGTGTATTTAATATTTATTTATTCATTATACTTTATTCTTTTTATAAAAAACAATTTAGACAAAATTATATGAGTTACATAAATAAAATTAATTTGATCGTTTACCAATAAGGGTTTTTCTTTTTTATTTTTTTTGGGTGGGTTGGCGTATTTGGTTGATATTTATTTTGGGATGCAAGAACTTAAATGAAGGACAACTTTTCTATATATATATATATATATATATATATATATATATATATATCTCATCAATTAATATATTTTACAGCACCACTTACCCTTTTCTATTTTGTTTTGCTAAAAAATTGTTCGAAAAATTACTAATTCTAACCTACTAATCATGCAACGATCCATAATCAAGTTGTTGGTTAAAAGAACGAACTCCGACATGCATAATTAGGGACTGGAAGGCGTCAACTAAAATTATTGATCGCTAGATATTTATCTTTGGATGCAAGAACTTAAATTAAGGGTAACTTTTTGAAATAACTCATCAATTAAAATATTTTATAGCGCCACTTACCTTTTTCTAAACTCTCTATTTTTTGCTTTGTTGATCGTGAAAATAATAGTCGTGACCTACAAATCATGCAAACAACGATCCACTAATTAAGTTATTGGTCAAAATTACGATTGGGACACTAATTTAGGAACCGGAAGCCGTCAACTAAAATTTCAAATGAGAGTTCAGTTAGCGGATTGTACTTAAATCCAAACAAATTGTTTGTAGGCCAATATAATTTTATTATTAAAGATTTTCATCAAAAAAATCATTAGAATTACAATGGAAATTTGGTAAATACAATTAGAGATTGCTAGTTTGCATGTGGGAAATTGAATAGAACATGTGGAATAGTAGACTAGTAGTGGAAGTAGAGTAGTAGTGGAGATGGAGAGGAAGGCATGTGATTTTGTTTGAATATTGGGAGTTGTGTATTTATATTTGAATTATCACTATCATTATAAACCCATGATCACAACAAATGGATTTTAAATAACTATTATTACTTAGTAAAATAATATAGAAAATATTTAGTTGACTTTTACTTGAGTGACATTCAAGATTTGATGCTGTCAAAAGAAGGGTTCTTAATTGCAAGCCAAGTCTTAATTCTTGACATAATTACACTCTTCGAATAATCACTAAGGCTTAGTTTATTATAAAAAGTTTCCCAAGAAAATAAAATAAATAAAAGAAGGATAAATTATGGCCACCCCTCTATAATATGGTCAACTTACTGAAAAATTTCTCATGTTTGAGTAATTATAATTACGTCATCAATTATGAATCTTCTTACACGATCATTCTTACATATTCTACATTTCGTGGAATGCTCTCTAGTTTGTAGTCGTTTTATGCAAAAATACAGTTTTTGATGCACCACAATATGATATTTACAAGTCAAGATAAACATCTTATGATTATCTTTTTCAAAATGTAGAGTTCGAATGAGATAAAACGTGCACAAATTAGAAAATATTCCACATAATCTAAAAAAATTCTACTAAATTTGACACATTAAATGTAGACATGTACGAATGTTCATAGTTCATGAGTTGAGGGATGATTGTAATTACTCAAACATAAATATTTTTTTGCAATTTGATTTTACTTTCTGAAGTGACCGTAGTATAAAAAGGAAATTTAGTATAAAAAATGGCGGGAACTGGGTCGCGGGTCACAAGATCCAGCTGTCGGCATTGGCTGTGTACCCGACCATGCAATTATTGTTGACCCGAAATTCGCATTTAATGCTCGCGGGTACAGGAGGGTGGGGCCCCGACCCGATTACCCACAAATGTCTTTATCGGACTGCTGCTTGTGGGGTCCCACATGAGTGGTGACGTGTCGTTCTGCGGGCTTTGTTCCGCTTGAGGACAAAAGAGTGCCATGTGGGATTGGTGTCGGCTGCCAAAGGAAAAAGGATTTGTTTGGTTCTATTTGTCGGAAACAAATTTTCTTCCATTTTGAATTTTCTACGTGTTTGACGTTATTAAAATGTTGTGTTAATTGTTTTTCTTAAAATTAAATTTAGTATATTCTTTTATTATATTCCATTAATTCCACTTAAGATAAAATTGATGACATATTAACATTAAAAACTATCTCAACTAACCACAATAAAAAAATATTGGTAAGGAATCGTCATATGTATATTATTTTTATATACTTTGTTTAGTTTCATTTACCCGTGACTTAGGCATAATATGATATATTATTTTTAGCTCATGAAAATGGTCCAATAAATATTATTTTGTATTTGCAAAATATATGTAATAACGGGTGTGTTCTTACCTTGCATGGTTCGCGGTGTTCGGTATTTGTAGTAAAGAGTCGAAGTTCAACTTCGTCTTCTATTCAGTTTAATCTATCTAATCACTCAAGTGAAAATATTTACGGAATTTAAATTACCTTTCAACTGCATCTAATATGCAAGGTCAAATAACATAAATATAATATTTGAGTGAATAGTAAATTATTGTATGTGCCAAAAGTAACAAATATTCTCTAAAACTAACGGTTGATAGGACTCGCATGCATTAATTAATACTTGTCAGATGGCTCCGGCGGTTTAAGTTTCTCATTGTTTCATTCGTCTGGCTTCTCGTTGTGAAGGTTATTCGCATATTGTCGTGCTATTTCCTAGATTTTATTAAATGGGCTGGACTTTGTAGTGGGCTGGAAGGTTGAGATGTTGCCATATCAGTGGGAACTTTCTAATTACCACCATGTTAAATTTATGAAATAAACATTATTGCGTTGTCTGTAAGTAGTAGGAATATTTTGGAAATTCATTTGAATATGTTTGTATTGAGTGTTGGGGAAATTTCATACATACCGATTGAGGTGTAATATTTGTTAAGGAATTATTCGAGATGAATTTATACTATGACTTCTTTTAGACCTATTATTACAAAATCTTGTCTTCGGTGAAGTTGTAAGTTTAGATTGATTAACAACTGAACCATGTAATTAAATACCCCGTGTTATCAAAAAGACCTTAGTGTAACAATTACCTGCATTAAAAGGTGAAATTCCTCGTCCGCGGAGCCTTATTCCTTGGCCCGACAAGTATTGTGATAGTGGAATGTAAATTATGGTAACTCAACGATCTATTAGGGTTGCGGACCCAAATTAGGTGCACAAGAAACCAAACTCTCATTGAAGTTGAATTTTTCACACTGCTTCTGCCAGCATTCGATCCTAAAACATTGCACCAATTTATCAGTTATCACCCCGAAACCAATTGTGTTATACGCATGCCGGCTATTATAAAAATTTGTTGTAACTAATTGTGGATTTAACACAATCGATAAATCAACATAATTAGTCGGTAATGACTATGACTGTTTTGTCTATATCAAGAATATATTATATTGTCTTTAATATATTGAACAATTAGTGCTAATAGTAATCTCATTTTTAAAAAAATACATTCCATGTAGAAATGATAGCAACCCAAAAAGGAAGTTATAGTATCTTATATGCCTTTTTTTTGAGTGCTTATTACTGTTTGAGGCGTCGCATTTGTCATCTTTGAACACACATTTTTTAAAATTCAAATTCGATCGATAATATAAAAAACCGACATTAAGCGATCGTACGGGTAACCTAGTTGCTCGAGCAATAGAGCAAGGAGTCAAACGACTCGAGATCGAATCTCATTATTTAACGTTTTTTCTTCTTCTTCTGATCGTGTTCTTCATACATATCCTATACCTTACGTGATTTACATCATTTTGTTAGTTTTTGTATGAAAATACAGATTTACTGAGTGGCCCTGTATATATTGTTGGTCATGTTGTTTAATTATAAAACATGCTTGATTAATTTTGAAAATAATAAATAATGAAATGATTAAAGAGATCCAAATCCAACAACTACACCGTCAAAATATTAAAGCTGGATTTCTTTAGGCATTGTTTTCTTTTCCCCTAATGGTTGGTGGTGATCGTGATATGTAATGTCGTGATTTTGTTCAAGATCTCACTTTTAAATTGTTCTCACTTCATTAATTTTGACTATCTAGTCCGATCATTGATCATTGCAATTAGGGATGATAATTTAACCTGCCATGATAGATCCCACCGCGCCATACCCTGAAAATAGTAAGTACTAACCCAAAAAATAAGGGGTGGGGATAGGGATTGATACTAAATTTTAGGGTTGGGCGGGGGTCGGTTTGATCGGCCAACCCACCTACTTTCGACCCACTTCTTTCAGCCGATAATTTTATTGTCGGGTTCGGTAGTTTTAACCAATACATATATAAACGAGTCATTTAGTGGTTTCAGTTTACTCAAAAGTCGGTTGATTGGGTAATATCGGCCAATCAACTTTTTAAATAATTTTTTATTATAAAATTTAATTGTAATTCTTATTTTTTAATATTAAAATAAAATATAAAAGAATTAAAAACTCAAAAAGTCAAAACACAAATTTATAAACTTCACCGTACTATTTTTATTTTATAATTCTTATTTCATATTCTTCATCATATATTTACTTATTGTAGAAGTTTAATTAAAAAATATCTTAATTTTAAAGTTAAGATTTTTGCAACATAAGTTTTCCCGAAATTTTGAATATCTTTATGAAAAACTTATAAAAACGTCTTATTATTGTAAAATGAAATAAAAATAATAATAATAATAATAATAATATAAAAAAAAAAAAGATGGCCGATAATACAAACCAACCACCCATTGTTTACCCGATAAAGTCGGTTGCCAACTTACCCGACCCAAAATTGTCGGGTCGATAATAGTTTTCAATTTTCAGCAAAATCGAATGGTCGGGTCAGGTAGGTAATTGGTCGATAATTGTCCGACCCGATCTATGCCCAACCCTACTAAATTTTAACCGGTTATGGGGATTGGGATGAGTTTGCATGTACCCACCCTGTGGACCCGACCCGTTCATGATCTGCACTATATTACTTATATGGTTTTACACCATTGATCTACACATAATA